GACGTGAGGGTCTACGGGGGTAAAGCTTCTGCGATTTTGAGGAGCTCGTGCCATCACCTCGAACTCCTCAGGCCCGCTGCCCCCTAGCGGTGGGTGTGTTGTCGAGGGGCCGGGAAAGGGGTTGCCACGCGGAGCCGATGATGCCTTGGCCTCTTCCTGCGCCCCACTCTAGGCACAATGACAACAAGAGCTTCCTGGTGTGGGTGAACGAGGAGGACCACCTCCGAGTCATCTCCATGGAGAAGGGGGGCAACATGAAGGAGGTTTTCCGCCGCTTCTGCGTGGGGCTGCAGAAGGTGGGTAGCCTGCCCCTCGCGGCGGACCTGGGACTCCCCGTGCACGCCGCACCCGCTTTCCAAGGCCCCGCCCCGCGGGGAACCCGGCTCCACCCTCTGCCCAAGCCCCGCCCCCAAGAGCCCGCCTCCCAAGCGTCCTCCAGCCCAGCCCCCGCAGCGTCAGGCTCCTCCTGGGTGCTCCGGCCCCTCCCTTCAGAAGCTCAGCCCGCGCGCGGTTTTCCAACCCCGCCGTCTCGGAATCCCCCCCCCCCCAATCCACGTCCTCACACCGTCTTCCTCCCAACCCCGTCCCGGTTGCGGGTGCATTTGGGGGCGCCCGCTGGCGCTGACCCCAGGTCCTGTCCCCTTACCTCAGATTGAGGAGCTCTTCAAGAAAGCCGGCCACCCCTTCATGTGGAACGAGCACCTGGGCTACGTGCTCACCTGCCCGTCCAACCTGGGCACCGGGCTGCGTGGAGGCGTGCATGTCAAGCTGGCGCACCTGAGCAAGCACCCCAAGTTCGAGGAGATCCTCACCCGCCTGCGCCTGCAGAAGCGGGGCACAGGTGCATCTCCGCATCCGCGCACCGCGGCGTCGGGGGCGGGCCCTTTGCGGAAGGGGAGGTGGAGCCTCCACGCGAGCTCTGGGGTGGACAAGGGCTACCCCGCTGTGAGCCTCAGTTTCTTCCTCTGCAAATGGGCGTCAGCACGCTTTATCTCACAGGAATCGATAGGATGTCATGGCTATCTGATATACATTGTGTATGTCCCCTGCCCCCTAGGGACCTCGGCTTCCCATCTGTAAAGGAGAGGATGGTCAGGGTTCAACCCCAGGCAGCCTGGCTCCGGGGCTCACTCTTCCCCACTATGCTCTATTTTCACGTTGGATGGTTGAAGGGTGAGGTATCTAAATTAGCCGGAGACGTGAGCCCGTGAATAGACATTTAGGAGACTCTGAATGCACGTAACCTGTTACGCAGTAGGCAACCAGTTCGTGCGGCCGTCTCCGTTGGCACGGGGGCAGCATCCTGGGCCCCGCTCCTGAACCTCTGCTCCCTCCTTATGCTCCTGCTCCTTCAGGTGGTGTGGACACAGCTGCTGTGGGCTCCGTGTTCGACGTATCCAACGCCGATCGGCTGGGCTCGTCCGAAGTAGAGCAGGTGCAGCTGGTGGTGGACGGTGTGAAGCTCATGGTGGAGATGGAGAAGAAGCTGGAAAAGGGCCAGTCCATCGACGACATGATCCCCGCCCAGAAATAGGCGTCCAGCCCGCTCGCCGCCGACTGCTGGAGCCCCAGCTAAAGGGAGGACTCGGCCCGTCAGGAGCCCACCCCTTGCCTCCCCCCACCCCCACCCCCAGCTCCACCTGTAACGGGTTCGGCCACCTGGGGGCTCTATCCACCCATCTCGGAATTCGATTTCCAACCAGAGTTCCAACAAATGCGCTTCAGCCTCTGAGTTCTGGCCAATGAAGAACCTCCTCACACCTTCCTCTCCTTTTCCCAGAGCTCTGCCCACCACCAGGAGCTCTGGCTAATGGAGAGCGCTCCAACACGTCCGGAGCTCCTGCTTTTTCTACACCCAAAGCAACAAATAAAAGCAACGGCGGCCCTAACTTTTGTGCGATAGTTACTGAGCAAGAGGACGAGGGACGTTTGCAATGGCCGCTGTGCGATCTCGGAGGGGCTTGCCCTCGCTAGTCATGTTTTAGCTCATCTCTAAAATGAGGCCAAGTTAGTGAACAGTCTAATCCAAAACTGATAAGGTTCTATGAGGAATCTGAGACCCAGAGATGTGTGGCCCCTTCCCAACCTCAGCTCCCAATCACTCATACTCAGATCTCAAACACAGGGTCCACACGGGGGAGAAACATAAGCCAAACAAAATGTCTGAGACTTGAATTTGGCCCGCGGGCCTCCAGTTTGAGACCTACCGTGCATCTCATCACATATACCTCATTTTATTTGTCACTGACCTCCTTCTGTGTGATCTCCCTTCACCCCTCTATAGCTCTTACCACTCCCTTAAACTTCCCTTTCTTTGTTCAAGAACTTGCCATAGCTCTCCACATTTCCTAGAATGCGCTCCTATTATTTGCAATTCAAGATCAAACTGAAATGCGCACCATTCGCTGAAGGCTCATCTTTCTGGTTCCTTCCCCATTATTCCTCTATACACTCTTGCTCCTTACACCCTGCTACTCCCACCTTAACGTCTTTGCCCATGCTCTTTCCTCCTCCAGACTGGGGCTTGGCTCATAGCATCCCCATGAAGTCTTGAGGGACCCGCCTTTTGGAGAACTTGGTCCCAGGATGGAGGTGGTGAGGGGCGGTGGGGTGGGTAATCGAAGTCCGGAAGCATCTCAACACGTACTGGGTGTTGGCCACATCAATCACCTCTACTCGACCCAATACGCCCAGGCCTCCAGCACGGGCAGCGCAGAAGGAAATGTGAAGCGGAGTGAGTGGAAGACAGAGCCCCAGGGACCTGGAGGAGGCACTTTTTCAAACCTGAGGGCCGTTAGAGATCAAGAAATGTGCTCTGTTTTACAGAGGGGAAACTGAGGCCAGGGCATGTCCCCAAGCGTTCCCAGAGAGATTACTGAAACAGGAAGGCTAGAAGAGAAAGACAAGACCTGTCAGGTGTCAGGATGTCCTTTACGACACTGTCCCCAAATGAAGATTGCATCACTCACCCCAGCTTCACCCTCCTACCCCACCCCCGAGGCCACACAGACCACAAGCACTCCAGTGGGACTGTCTGAGCCAAATCTGCCCGTCAGCGACCATGCCTGTCCTGCCCATCTTGCCTCATAAGCCTTAAATGCACCCCTTCTCTCCCCACCTTCTGTCCCACTCCGACCTCCTCCCTACTCTCCTGACCTGTCTCCTTCCCTCCCTTCGCAGCATAAACCTGTCCCTTCCTCCCCCTTGCTCACAACCTCGCTATGGCTCCCTAGTGTCCTTGGTAGAAAGCCCGGGCCCCTCTCCACTACCTTCAGGGCCCTGCCAACACCTCCAGCCTCATCTCTCCCAGCGACTCCACTCACTGTAATTTTTTTTGCCATTTGCTGTACTCTCGTTCTCCTGCTTCCCAGGCATCGTACCAGCTGTTCCGTCTGCCTAGAACGCCATGTCTAGCTAGCTGCTCATCATCCTCCCAGTGGCAGTTGGGCTGTTCCTCCTCTGGGAAGCCCTCCCTGGCTGGGATGGGCACCCTCTTGGCCTTCCCCGGCCTCTGCCCTGCCACCCTCCCCAGCCCTGCCCACTCTGGATCATCACCGGTGCACCTAAATCCAGCTTTCTCCACTGGACTGAGCCCCCCGAAGGCAGGGGTGGGGCTGCCTTGGTCACCACTATGTCCCCAGCACAGAGCTGGGCACACAGGAAGCCCTTAGGGATTGAGATTTCCAGCATTGGTTGGTGCCCGCCACCTGACTCAATAGAAACACCTTTCAGCAGATCCCTATTCTGGCCTCACTCATAAGACAGTAATGCGGTTCTGTCCCAGACCCTGAATTTTTCAAGAGTGACCACTCAGTTTCTACCACCCTTTATTTCCCATTTGACTTTGCTATTAGCCCCAAGACGAACACAAGACAAGGGTTGACCCTACCTTGCCCCAACTGGGCACCTGAGGCACAGTAGACTAAGCCTCTTCCCTACATACAACCCTCCATGGCTCCCTAGTGCCCTTGGATGAAAGCCCAGCTCGCTCGCTTTGGCCCTTTGGCCTACGAGGCCCTGTGTGAACAACGCCCCCGCCCTCTACTGCTTAGCTCTATTGAGCTTCTTTTCCCTTCCTCTGGCTAAGGACACCTTGACTTTCCTCTGAGCAACCCACCTAAATCCAGCTCCAGGGGCGCCTGGGTGGCTCAGGTGTTAAGCGCCTGCCTTCGGCTCCGATCATGATCCCAGGGTCCTGGGATCGAGCCCCTCATCAGGCTCCCTGCTCCGCGGGAAGTCTGCTTCTCCCTCTCCCTCTCCCCCTGCTTGTGTTCCCTCTCTCGCTGTCTCTCTCTCTGTCAAATAAATAAAATCTTAAAAAAAAAAAAAAAAATCCAGCTCCAGGCAGGGGCCTGGCCGCTCCAGAGCAACAGGGACTGGGTCAGGAATGGTCACATGACTTCTCTGGGCCAATAAGAGTCCGTCTTGGGACTTTTGCCAGAAGTTGGCAGTGAGGAACTTTCTGCTGCAGAAACTAGGCAAAGGGAGGAGAGGTTGGAACTGCTGGGGTCATCTCTGCCATCAGGGAGTGCGTGATGAAACTACAGGCTGAAACTGTTAAACTCACACTGAAAAAAACCAAGATGAGATGGCCGGCTGCCTGGATTCAGCCGTACCTGAAGTCAGGCACCCCCACACTATTAAGGAACATAAGCAAACGAGTAACCTTTTTGCCTAAGTGTAGCTGGATTATGAGTCCTAATACAACATTTCTCTTGTTAATTCTCCACCACCCCCAACACAGCAGCCACACCGAAATTACCCCCAGTTCTCTGAAGGTCTATCATGCACTCCCACCCCCAGGCTTCTGCCAAGGGCATACCCCAAACCTGGTCAACTCCTATTCATCCTTCAAAGCCCATTTCCCTGACTCCCTCCTGCTCTCTTCTGGGCTCCACAAAGCAATGGTTTCTCTAGTGTTTTGTGTCAGAACCCATGTCCGCCACAGACAGGGGCTCCTTGTGTCTCCGTGTCCAGCACTGGGCCTGGCACGGAGTAGGCACAGGTCAATGACTGTTTATTGAATAAATGTACTACTGGAGTAAGAAGTGGCTTAGAGTCCGGTATAACATGTGGGTGGGCACGTGAGTGGATGAATGGGGGACCGATATAGGAACCGGGGGCCTCGTGGATGAGGCCAAGTTCTGTCCTGCCCTCCTCCACCATCATCCTTGACCCTCACACCCCCACTACACCCATTCTGCAGCTGAGAAAACCGAGGCTCAGAAAGGAGGAACCACTGGCCCAAAGTCACACACCACCTCCTCCTCGTCTCACTCGCAGGTGAGGGCAGGGAAGGAAAAGCCCGGGGTCAGCGTGGGGGAGGGGGACGCTCCTAAGTTTATTGGGCGACAGGCTGCAGGTGAGGGGGCTGACAGGAGGGGGCGGGTGTAATAACTTAAAAACCGGAGGTGACAGTGGCAGCTCCTTGAGAGATCTCTGCAGAGGGGAGGGTGTGGGGGTATTTACAAGGATTTGTACAAAGTGCCCCGCGCCAGCCTGGGGCAGGAAGGGGGTGGGGTTCGAGCATGAGGGGAGGGGAAGGAATCTGCCTCTCTGACTCCCACTCCCAGCCCCCCCTGCCATTCTCCAGTCTTTAGGCTCAGCAACCCTTCCTGCCCCTGCCCAAGGCCTAATTCTTGAGCTCTTGGGGGTGGGGGTGGGCGGGGATGGAAGAGTTTCCTCAGTTTCCCTTTCTGCCCTTGCCGCGCCCCCCGAGTCTCCTTGGGTGCCCCCTGGCAGGGGGAGGGAGGACAGGACCGGCTGGAGGCTCCAGGAAGGGGCCAGCTCCCCCTGCTCGGCCCCCTCACTCTCCTCTCATGCCCAACGGCCCCGGAGAACAGCGCGGGGGACAGGCTCTGTCCCCACGTCGGACTCGCGGGAACCGAGGTGATGACAGAGGGAGACGCCCCTCCCTGACCCCTCTCCCTGCGGCGGAGGTGAAGGGGACGAGGGAGAGGAAGAGGAGGGGACCCGGGCCGTGGCGGCTCAGAGCTCGAGGTCGTTGGAGATGCGGGTGACGAGGGTGCGGAAGGCCAGGGCGGTGCCCGCCACGCGGCGGAAGAGGACTCCCCGCAGGCCCGGCCGAGGCAGCTGGCAGACCTCCACTTCGAAGTGGGACAGGGGCTCGGGCCCGCCCGCACCCCCGTGCAGGCAGGCCAGCAGGAACGGCTGTGGCTGGCGGCAGCGGCAGCGGGCGGCCGCGGTGGCCTGGCGGAGAGCTGCCATCAGGGCCTCGGGTGGGCGCGAGCTGGTCAGCTTCACACTCCAGGGGAATCGGAGTAGCCGGGGGGCGGTTTCCGTTTGATCCCAAGGTAGATGGCAACTGGGGCGGGAAGATGTCAGCGGTCAAGGACGGGAGAGGAGGGGAAGGCGACCCACTGTTCCCACCTGGGGACAGACTCCTAGACGTCCCTCACAGCCCGCCACCCTCTCTCACCCCAGGGACAGCGACAGAGGTCCGGCTGTACAGATCGCTGGCCAGCTGGAGGCTCCATTTCCCAGCCTCCGCGGCAGCCAGGCGCCACCTTGGCTCTCAATGCCTGGATGTGAGTGGAAGTGATGCCTGCAACCTCCTTCCATCACCTCCTCCCAAGGGGTATCTGGAAATTTCTGGGGGCTTTTTGATTAGCGCAACGTCTTGGGATGCGGGCGCCACTGACATTTATTCGGTTCAGGGCGGATACACGTTCTGCAACATGCGAGAGGCCCCGCACAACAAAGAAATGTCCCGCCTAAAGTACCAAGGGCGCCCCTCTTGAGAACCATCGCACACTTCAGTCTTCCCGGTTTCCTCGCGGCTGACCCCGCCTCTCAGCGCCAAGCTGAGCACGTGGCTCGGTTCTGGCCAATGAGAGCAAGCCACCTCCCTGCCTGCCGCGATTGGTTCAAAGGGGAAACGCATGACCAGGTCCCACCAATCAGAGTACTCCACCCTTCTGGCCACAGGCAGTGGCTTAGGGATGGGCATGTGGCTCAGTTCCAGCCAATGAGAGTCGGTCCTGGGATCTTTGGGACTGGTGGGGAGGTTCTTAATTTGCACCGAGTGGGGTATGGGGGGGGTGTCTTTACATCGGGGGATTGTGTCAAACTGAAGCAGGGCCGGCGAGGTACAGGGCTGCCTGCTTTTGTAACTAAGTGTTTCTGGAAGCCCGCCACGCCCATTAGTTTTTGCACTGATGGCGGGACAACGGCAGAGCCGAACAGGCATGACGGAGATTACCGGGGCCTCAAAGCCTAAACTATGGACGATCCGCCGCAACAGCTGTGCCTCGGTGGATGAGAGGGGGAGGGAGGTGTGGTGGCAACAGCAGGAGTTGGTCACACATGGAAGAGGCTGGAGGTAAGGACGGTCGAGGGACAGTGTGCACGGATCGGGGTGGAAATGAGAGGAAGTCGTGGGGGGCGGGGCATAAGAGGCCCGGGCAGAGGAAGGAGGGCCCGAGGGAGAGTTCAGGAAGCTGGCCTGGAGGCGGCGGCTCAGGTCCCATCTAAAGGTATGGGGATGGCGGATCGGGGAGGTGCAGACCGAAGTGGGGTATTAGGCACACTAAGCGGGAGGGGCTGGTGTGGCGGCCAGGGGGGGGTAGGCCCAGGCACTCACCTTGTGACCTCAGGTCCCCCGATTCTCTCAGGTTCGTCTGTGACCCTAGGGGAAGGGAGGGGGACAGAGTGTCTAATCTGCACGTATGGCGCCCCCTCCCCCAACCCACTGCCTCCAGAACTCTGGGCAGTCCCTGCCTCAGCCCTGGTCCCGGTCCCTCCCCGCCGGCTGGAGCTGGGCTGGGGAGGGCTGGGAGTCAGGATCTGAACTCCCTCTCCATGCCCAGAAGGGGAGCCCCTTCTGAAATGGTTAGTGCAGGTCAGAGGAAAGATACTGAAGAATTCGGAAGACGAAAGAGAAAGGGATTGGGCAGAGATATACACCTACATATAGAAGGACATGGACACACACACGCACCCCTCCTTCACGCTTTGCTCAAACGGCACCTCCTTAGTGAGGCCTGCTCCATTTAAAACTGTACCTCTCTTCCCTGCTCTACTTTTCTTCTCAGTACTTATTTACTGTCTGGATCTCCGAGGAGAATGTCGGCTCTGCCTGGGCTGGGATTTTATACATTCTGTTCACTCTACTCCAGGGTCTAAGATAGGGCCAGGCGCTCAGTGAATAAACATAAATCATTTTCCAAGGCAGCATTCTAAGCTCAGTCCATATATCACCTCATTTAGTCCACACGACAACCCTAGGAGGAAGGCACTGTTATTTCTATCCCCACCTTACAGAAGAGGGAAGCAAGGCCCAGAGAGGTTGAGTGACTTACTCAAGGTCACTCAGCAGAGCTGGGGTCTGAGCCTTAAGAGTCTGGCTCCAGAGGCCAGACTACTGTTTATTAAATGAGTAAAATGAACAGCCAGACCCCACAACCAGTCCTCCTCCCACACGCACACAGTCCGCCTCCCCCACCCCTGTACACACAGGTCTGACATGCAGACAGGGAAGCAGAGCCAGGGACAGCGGAGGGTGGACGGGACTTACTGATCTTGGATCCCTGGGGCAGAGAGGCGCCCGAAACGCAGCGGTTAGAGTTCTGCCGTTTAGAGGGATCGAGGGTAACCCTGTAGTGTGAGGAGGGAGGTGAAGGGTGACGGAGGAGGAGGAGAAGAGAGAGGAGGAGGAGGAGGAGGAGATGATGTGGGGGTACAGGAAGCAGAGCAGAGCAGAAGACAGGTTAGGCCCCATTGCCCCCCACCCCACTCCCACCCGCCACATCCCATGGGGCTCACCTTCGGGTCAGTTTGGAGGTCAGCTTGGTGAAGAGGTTGGTGGTGGGGCGGGGCCGCCCAGTGGGCAGGGGTGTGGCCTCGTGGGCCAGCGTGGGAGAGGCGGGGGGTCCATTCTGCACACCCCCGCCTCCCCCGCCCCCTGCCCTCCGGTCCCGGACCTGGCCACCGTGGAAGGTGCTGCGGATGGTGGAACCGCGTGCCAGACGGCTCCGCTCCCCCGATGGGGGAGCCAGGCTGTGACTAGAGGGAGAGGCGGGGGGCACCCGTGGGGTACCCGAGCTGTGGGCAGAAAGGAACAAGTCTGAGTGGGGCCTGATTCTTCACTGTCCTGTCTTGAGATCAGAAACATTACAAAACTTAGAGCTCAGAGACAGGGCTGCCATGTACAGTTGGGCAGGCTGTGTACTATACAACCCTAGCTATTTTACGGACTCTTCATTCTTCCTAAGTCATCCCTCCTTCAAACTGTCCTTCCTTCAAACCCTACCCACTCCAAACGTATCCTAAATCTCCTCTCTCCAAACTCAGCAGTGGAATAGGTTCAGATATATTTTTTGATGAGTCCCTTGCCATTTGCCATCCAAACCACAGGAACCAAGTCAATTTTGCAAATACTCTGCTATCTGATCTTTCATTTTTCAAACTCGGGATACGAATAGATGTGAACATCAAAGGTACTTAAACTCATTATGGTAATTTTTTGACAGGTCAGAAAGGACCCTCTTCCCAATTGTCTCAAGATGTGGTGTGGACAGTGGTGACTCCAGCGCCCCAGGACCCTCCTCCAGACCCTCCCAGTCCTGACAGGAGGGGCCAGACCTACAATTTCTATCCTTCCAAGGACCCCAGGACCAGCCTGGATCTCAAAGAGGGAATCCTGACTGTGGCAAATGCCACTACCTCTCCCTTGGAATCTGTCCTCCTTGTTTTACTTTTAGTAACCAAACTTCTTAAGGGTGTGAGCGTTGCACATGGCCACCCAGCCAGAGACTACATTTCCCAGCTCCCTTGCAGTTAGGGATGGTCATGTGACTAGTCTCTGGCCAATGGGATACAAACTGAAGTGCTTTGTCCCATTTCTGGGTCAGGCCTCTAAAAAGCATGCAGCTTGCGCTCCACTCTTCCCATCCTTCTTGCTGGTTGAGAAATGGTGGCAGCTGGCACAGTGGCCTCAGTCCCAGAGCTGGAGCCTCGGTTTGAGATGGGCAGGAACAATCTGGGTCCTTGGAGGACCTTGCCTGCCTACCTCTGGATTGCTCTATCAGAGAGGCCTAAACCTCCTTCTCATTTAAGCCACCGTCCCTTGGGGTCTCTTCGTTACACCAGCTGAGTCTCCAATCCAACTGCTACACTGTCTCTCGACCAAAGCTGGAAGGCTATGCACTATAGTGTTTACAAACACACACGCCGCAGTCAGTCTGGAATCTTTGCTCCTTGACTTGCCAGCTGTGTGGCTTTGGACGAGTTACTTAACCTCTCTGAGCCTCATTTCCTCAGCTGTAAAATGGAGATACCGGGATCTACCTCACAGAGTTGTTAGGGCCATTCAACCAGCAAATACACACAAAGTCCTGGCATACAGTTCCTGCTTGATGAATACTCACTATTACTTTTATTTAATGACCATGAAATAAGCACTCACTCATCGAATGCCCTCTATGTCACAGACCCTGTGCCCAGCACAGGACGCACCTGATCTCCACCGGATCCCTCTAACAGGGCCTAGAGGCAGAGAACATCAGCCCCATCTTATAGAGGAGGAAACCGAGGCTCAGAGACTCGCCCGAGGTCATCCTGCTAGCAGAGTGCAGAGGCAAGATTTGAACACAGAATGTAGTAGCCACAGAATCACTACTCTCAACCACTCCATATCCTGTCCCCACCGAACAGTAACACGCGTTTGTCAAGTGTTGTCCAGAGTGCACCTGGGTGTCATGCCCTGGAGTCCTGGTGGGCGGGAGTATCATTATCCCGAGGCCCGCCCCACTCCTCACTCCCGGACTTGAATCATGATGTGAACTAATTCAACCTCCGCCCCCCCACGCCAGTTTTTTTAAGTAGGCTCCACGCCCAATGCGGGGCTTGAACTCCCGACCCTGAGATCAAGGGTCTCGTGCTCTACCGACTGAGCCAGCCAGACGCCCCTGATTCATTCCCTTTTTATGCTCCAGCCAGTCCGCATTGGTTTCCCTCACTTGCCAGCTGAAAGAGACCGAACAGACTCAGGAAAACTAGTCTGAAAACCAGCCAACAAGAGGATGTTGAAGCTGTGACATTCTGGGGCTTCTCTCAAGTTCTAAAAATTGATCATTCAAAAAAAAAAAAATCAATTCAGTTTCCCAAGGCTCGTAGGCGGAGAACAGGGCAGACTGCTTTCCTGGGGCTGATGACTAACTAATTAAGAGGGGAAGATTTTCGGGGGGTCGGGCGGCGGGGCGAGAGGACATGGGTAGATTCTGCCAAGGGAAAGGCAGACACACACACACTCCCCAGTCCCCACAGCACCCCTTCCCCACAATGGTTATCATCTTCCATCAAGGAGGGCCCCGCTCCCCTACACCCTGCTCCCCTGCTCCCCTACACCCCGCTCCCCGCTGCTGCTCCCTCTCCATACCTGTTCTCTTTGCCATTTGGCAACAGGGAGGGGCGCTCAGCCCCAGGGCGTTCTGTGCAAACGTAGGTGTTTCTGCGGGTCATCATGCTGGGAGGGAGGTTGTTCTGTGGGAGATATGGCCAGGAGGGAGTGAGGGGGGCGGAAGGACACCCCTCTACTTCCCACTTATCCTCCCTGGCCTCCCTCATTATGATCGATGCCGGGGCCAAGACTGAGCAGGTGATGGTTTACTCCGGGAGAAAGGAAAGGTTAACGAGCCAGCCCGGCAACTCAGGCTAAGGGTCACGGAGCTGAGACAGCGGTGCTGAGGGAGAGTGGGTCAGGGGCGGTGCCCAGGGGGCAGCCTTGCCCACTCCTCTCCCAGCTCTGCCCCACCTGGGTAACAGGCCAGCTGTGTGAAGCTTTCCGTAGCATACTTATCCATGGCACACTTGCAGTCTCCTGGCCTTTGCACGGCCGGCCCACTTGCTTGGATATTCCTCCCACCTTTCCCCTCGACTCACACCTATGTATCTTTCAGGTGTCAGTTCATAATACAGCTGGCTGAGTCAGGTGCCTTCCTGGGGCCCCCACTGCCACCTCGATCACTTTGTATCGTCAATATCTGTCCCCTTATCCATCCCCACCTGCCCTGGACTACGACCCCCCTCGGACCAGGGAGTACACGTCGGGATTATGCTGCCTCCCCAAATGTGCTGAGAAGTGATCCCTCATTTTGTGTCCTCTGGAAGTTTCTCTAAGGTTGGTATTATTCCTTCTTTCAGTGGTTGGCAGAATTCCACCACTTAGAGCCTGGAATTTTCTTTCTGGGGCAGTTTTAAGTTACGGATTCAAGGTCTTGGATAAGAACATAAGACTGTTCAGATTTTCTGTTTCTTCTCAAGCAAGTTTAGTGACTTGTGTTTCGAAAGACATCTGTCCATTTCATCTAAGATGTCACATTTATTGGCATAAGGTGGCTCCTAATACCATCTTACTGTCTTTTTATGTTGGGGCAGAGTTTTCCTTTTGATCTCTGATATTAGTCATTCGTGGGGTTCAATGATAGTATTAATCTTTTCAAGAACCGAATTGTGGCTTTGTTGGTTTTCTCTAGTGTACCTCTGCTTATTCCTTTATTGACTTTTATTTCCTTCCTTCTACTTTTGGCGGGGGGCTAATTTGCTTTTCTTTTCTTTTTTTTTTTTCTCCCTTTTTAAGGTAAAAACAACAACCAGAGCCTTCATGTATTGAGTGCTTACTGAGCTGGATGCCGTGGGTGGTTAGTTTATGTCCAAGATCTTATGAGAGCCTCACAACAATCCAAGTCCTCTGATGAGCCCATTTCACAGGGTGGAATACTGAGGCTCAGAGAGGTGAAATCACTTGCTTAAGGCCACACAGCTCACCAATGCAATTCAAGCTCTGGTCTTAACACCTCCTCTTTTGAGGAGCTGCAGAAGCAGGAAAGCCAAGTACTACATTTCCCAGACTCCTCTGCAGCTCAGGATCTGCGTATGAATGGGTTCTGCCAATCTTTGGACTCGGGAAGATCTGGAAGGTGGCACTGGGGTGGCAGTGGCCTTTCTGTCCCCTGTGACTCCTGCTTACACGGGCAAGGTCATGAGATGAGGGTCTTTGCCTCAGCAGAGCCTCAGTGCTTGTTATTAGAGTTCCTGGCATCGAGGGGCCCTTCTGGGAGAGAACAGTGTTTCTGAGTCTTGAATTACAGTCAAGACCATGTGTTCTGGAATTCAACAGTGCTAGGGTCTGCCCCAGAGGTGGCAGCCCCCTCAGTGGGTCAGTTCTGCAGTGGTGATGTGTCACTCCTACAGGTCTAATCCACTGCCTGCCCCACCAGCCCTTCCTACAACTTTGTAAGTGCCTCATTCCCTGTATGAAATCCCTCCTACCCAAAGCAAGGGGAGTGCTTCTTTCTGACACTGAAGGCTAATTTATATGCGAGCCTCCAGCACAAGCTCGGGTACGGAGAGAGCACTCAAATGTCTACGGGATGAACGAATGAACAGACAGAACAAGGAGTCCTGTGTGGTGGTCTGGGGAACAGGATAGGGAACAGCAGGGTCTGAAAAGTGTGAACCAGGCGGTCACATCCCCCAGCCCTGGCCACTCACAGGGGTGCTCGTGCTGTCCTTCCGCCGCTCTGGGATCTCTGCCTTGTTGGGGTTGTGGGCGCTGCTGACCATGGGGCTGGAGGGGGGCAGTCCCCGGCTCCCGCTTCCGGCAGCACTGCAGCCCGCCTTCCGGCCTGGCAGGCGCTCCTCCTTCAGCTCCGCCTCCCCGGTGCTGGTTGGGCTGCGCTTGGGGTGCAGGGGTGCGGGGGATGGGCCACCTGGTGGAGGGAGGGGACAGTCAGGGCTCGCAACACCTGGAAAGGCCAGAACCTACTCGGGGTGATCCTTAGAACCTCAGAATTCCTCACAGAGGCTACAAGCTCTGCGTGGGCCAAGCTGACACGATCTGTCCCAATGAGCGATGCACACACTGACCACCCCCCAACTCCATGGAAATGACATGATGCACGTGTAGGTTATTCACTGCATCGCTGTTTTGTTTCTAAGATTTTATTTATGAGAGAGAGAAAGCATGTGGTGGGGGGGAGGGCCAGAGAGAGGGACAAGCAGACTCCTTGCCGAGCAGGGAGTCCGACGTGGGGCTTGATCCCAGGACCCTGAGACCATGACCTGAGCCCAAAGCAGACACTTAACCAACTGAGCCACCCAGGTGCCCTGCATCACTATTTTTTAAAAATATTTTATTTATTTGAGAGAGAGAGAGAGAGAGAATGAGCAGGGGGAGGGACAGAGGGAGAGGGACAGACTCCGCACTGAGCAGGGAGCCCAACGTGGGGCTCAATCCCAGGACCCTGAGACCATGACCTGAGCCAAAAGCAGACACTTAACCAACTGAGCCACCCAGGTGCCCCCACATCACTATTTTTTAAAAATATTTTATTTATTTGAGAGAGAGAGAGAGAGAATGAGCAGGGGGAGGGACAGAGGGAGAGAGACAGACTCCACACTGAGCAGGGAGCCCGAAGTGGGGCTCGATCCCATGACCCTGAGATCATGAACTGAGCCGAAGGCAGATACTTAACTGATTGAGCCATCAGGCACCCCTCATCGCTATTTTTTTTTAAGGCCAAAAGACTGGGAGCAGCCCAAGTGCCCCTTAGGAGGGGAATGGCTAAATGAAGTCAAGCTATTTCGGTACAAGGAGGAAGCTGCTTATGTACCAAGACACAGTGATCTTCAAGACAGACTGTAGAGCAGAAAAGGCAGGGCCTGACGTCTAAGGTGTGCTGTCATTTGTGAAAGGGGAAACGTATAGATTTCTACTTATCTCTATTTACTTGCTTATACATGAACATCTTAAAAGGCTATCATGTCTTAAAAGGTGAGAACGTTACCTTTATGGTATGTGAATATGTTAGTATTGTATTTATACATCTTTATCTCTCTCTCTTTTTTTTTTTTTTTAACTTTTTTTAGTGGCAGAGGGGCAGAGGGAGAGAGAATCTCAAGCAGACTCCCCACTGAGCATGGAGACCGACGCAGGGCTCGATCTCACGACCTGAGCTGACCTGAACCAAAATCAAGAATCTGACGCTCAAGCGACTGAGCCACCCAGGTGCCCCTATGTTTCTTTTCTTTTTCTCTATCTCCTTTTGGTTTCTATCTTTATATACAGTCAACCCTTGACAACACGGCTTTGAACTCCGCGGGTCCACTTCTATGTGGATGTTTTCCAATAAATACCGTACAGTACTGCAGAGGTCTTTTCCCTAAGATTCTCTGAAGGACATTTTCTGTTCTCTAGTTTGCTTTATGGTAAGAATACAGTATATAACACATACAACATAGAATGTGTTGACGGACTACGTTATCAGTGAGGCTTTCAGTCAACGGCAGGCATTAGCAGTTACGTTTGGGGGGAGTCAAAAGTTATATGTGGATTTTCGACTGCACAGGGGGTTGGTGCCCTAACCCCCGCCTTGTTCGGGGATTAACTCCATGTATTTATGAATAAAATCTCTCCCAAACTGGTCACAGTGGCTGCCTCCAAGGACAACTGGGGGCTGGAGATGGGTGTCCAATGAAAACTTTTTTACTGTCTACCCTCCTTGTACTATGAAATTTTGAAGGATGTGACTGTATTCATCTCAAAAACAAAACAAACAAATCTGGTCCCTTGGAACATCTTAGGAAATTATCGTCTTAGAACCAGCAGGTTTAAGTATGTTCACGAACTTCGGACAGTCGAAACTTCTATGTGTTACATCCTCAGGAACCTTCATGCTCCAAAGTCCCAGAACCGTAACAAGCTCTGCAATGACGGACACGGGGCACCCGTCGACAATCCTCCGAGAACCCCAGAAGCCCAGAAAGTTTCCATGTGAGTGTTCTTTAAGGTGATATGTTGTAACCAGGGTCACAAGCTTCTTAGCGACTTTCTGTGCCAATCTGGCTATTTTATAGGTGGAAAAAGGAAATCCAGGGAAGGGAAATGACTTGACCGTCCAGAATCCCACAACTTCCTGCTTAAGAGCGACGCTTGGGTTTCCCGGACAACCCCTTCCCCATGCCAGTGCCTGTCCCAGAGTAAAGCATTTCGAAGGAGGGCCGCAAAAAAGTGGGGAGTTGGACACCACGCTGGCCGTTCCTCACATGGCTAAACATGGCATTACCACGTGAGCCGGCAAGTCCACTCCTACCACATGCCCAAGAGAAATGGCCACATACGTCCATACGGAACCCGGCACGTGAAAGTTCACAGCATCATTATGCACAATCGCCAAACAGCGAAAACAATGCAATGTCCATCAGCTGACAAGTGGAAAAATAAAATGTGGTAGATCCACGACATGGAATATTACTGGGCCATTAAAAGGGACGAAGTGCTCGTCCATGCTAACACGTGGATGAAAACATTACCCTAAGTGAAAGAAACCAGACACAAAAGGCCATGCATTGTATAATTCCTCTTACACGAAATGTCCAGGATAGGGGAATCTGTAGAGGTAGGGAATGGACTGGTGGTTGTCAGGGGCTACAGGGTGGTGGATGGGGGTTTGGAGGTTGATGGCTAGCTAGGGCTTGTGGAGTTTCTTCCTGGGGCGATGAAAATGTGCTAGAGTGGATTGTGGTGATGGTTGCTGTTAGTATCTGTGGATACTAACACCACTGAATTGTCCACTTTGAATGGGTGGATTGTGTGGTATGTGAATTATTTCTCAATAGAGCTGTTTAAAGAATAGTTGATAGGGGGCGTCTGGGTGGCTCAGCCAGTTAAGTGTCTGCTTTCAGCTCAGGGCATGATCCTGGGGTCCTGGGATGGAGCCCCACATCGGGCTCCCTGCTCAGCAGGGAGCCTGCTTCTCTCTCTGACCCTCCCCCCCGCTAATGCACATGTGCACTCTCGCTCACAAAAATAAATAAAATCTTTTAAAAAATAAAAAAAAAGAATAGTTGGGAGGATTCACATTTGAAGAGGGTGTGGGTAAGAGACCTCTTGGAAGTTTCCACGCCTAATCTGTGGTGGTGGTGGTAAACTCTATCTTCTGTGGGTGATATCTTTCGGTTACAGAATGTGGGGTACAGGTGGGTGTCTGCCCAGCCCCTTTCCACTAGGAAGGGCCTTTCAAATTTTCAGTGTGGAGGAGAGCCAGAGGGCAGGCTCTCAGCAGCCACTTTGTGCAATGTGTCCTCCTATGTCCTGATCCCAAGTGGACCCTGACTGTGAGAGCTCTATCCCTGACAGGTGGAACAAAGGGATTCCAGCTATCACTTGGGCTGGTCTCTAAATTGGAGTTGGGAGACGGAAGGGGAGAGACTGTGAAAAAGATAAGGGGAGATACATAAGAGAGAAAGGAAAAGCCAAGAAGAGAGAGGGTGCAAGAAACAAAACAGTATCTGCTCTGGCTGCTTTTTCAGTTTCCAATCCCTTCCTGACCCTGGCTGTGTGTTCCCGCCTCCAAGTTCCCTATAATGTCCCTGCATCTTTATATGAAATTCCTCCCTTCTCTGCAGCTGGCTCGAGCAAGGGTTTCTGTTGCCTGGGGTCCAGACAACCCTGATGTAACAGAGGTCTGAGGCCTTGGGGCCCGGGATGGCGTGTGGGGCAGCGGGGCCATACTCACAGAAGTCGCTATGCCTGCGCTGCCGGTGGTAGGTGGAGGAGGCGCTCCGTTGTCCTTTGCTGTGGCTGGTGCCTTTGCTGGAGCTTGTTCCATTGGTGGTGTCGCTGGGCGCCCGCACCCGTGCCAGGGCCAGCCCCGGGGTGCCCCGGTCCCCACCCTCCTGCAGGAGGATGACAGACGAGGAGCCTCAGCCTCTGTCCCCTCTGCCCCAGAAGTCCCTCCACCCCGGGCATCGCGCATCCCAAATGCCCCTGGCGCCTTCTGACCTCAGTCTTCCTGCCCAGCAGGAGGTAGGTGGCGGTCACTTCGTTGTACTTCTGGCTGGTCAAGGCCTCTTTGATTTCTTCCCGCGTGTAGCCCATACCCACCATCACCTCTGGGAGAGGGGGATGGAGAGGAGGTTCAATCTCCCCAGACCCTTCCCTTCCACTCGTTTCTGCATCACATAGCAACACCTGCTCTTTGGCCTGTTCAGGATCCGTACCCCCTTCTGCCAGCAGCACCCTGATTTCCTTGGAAGAACATTTCTTTCCTGCTCACATCACCGGGCAGACTCCCAGTACCAAGCCCCAAGGGCAGGTACATAACCCAGATCTGACCAAACAGAGTCGTCCCCCCCCCCCCCCCCCCCCCCGGAAGGCCACACTGATTGGCTCAGGGCAGGTAGATGACCCAGGTCTGGCCATTCACAACACTCCAGACCCAAAATCACGTTGATTGGTTCAGGGTGGGCACATGACCTGGCTCTGGCCAATCAGAGCATTCCATCCCCAAAGCCAGACTGATTGGTTCAGGGGTAGCCAATGGGCACCAGCCTAGAGCCTCTATTGGCACATTCAGGAAAGTGGCTCCTGTTCTTGAGGGGGTGTCCAGGTGCTAGGATATGTTGTTGCCAGCTTGTTCCTGTGGCCAGAGCTTCCTGGGAAAGAAGCCACCACTAAGATTCCCAGCGACTGTCTCTGAGCACCTGAATCCAGCCATGCCTGAAGGCCGGCATACCCTGGCCTTTTTAGTTATGTGAATGAATCAGTTACCACGATTAGGTTATAACCACATAGAATTGCTGATGTTAACCATTTTTGACCTATAAAAATGGCAGTTTCAAATGGTTCAGCCTATTATTATTCTTACTGGCTTAAGCTAGAAGGGCTTGGGTTTTGTCTTCTGTACAACCACAAAAATCCTGATTAATGCAGCCAACTCTGATGGTGGACTTGAGGGTTACTGGATAGTTCCTAAGGGACTCTTTCAGGGCTAATGCCTTAGGGATCAAGAGTTCAAAGGCTCCAGGCTGGAGGATCTGGGATCAAAGGGTTGGTGGGTGAGGCACATGCCCACATGGGGGTTTTCCCCAAACATGCAGGTTACCGATGACTTGTGCCCAAATACTTCTAGACGTGATCTGTAATTTCTTTTTGTGTCTTAACAGTCACAACTAAGTACTTGGCGTAGATTAACTCATTTAATATATTCACAGCAACCCTATGATCGTTTCTACGATTGTCTTGTTTTACAGATGAGGAAAGAGAAGCACTGAGAGGAGAAGCCACTTGCCCAGGGTCACGCAGCTAGAAAGCAGCAGCGCAGAAATGGGAGCCTAGACTTCTCCACTCTCCCTAATTGCCTTGCAAACTTCTCTCATGCGCTGACCCGAGGGGCGGGTGCTGGGAAGCTCCCAGCCCTGGCTCTGTGGCCCGTAGCTCTGAGGAGCTGGGGCACCTGCTCTCCCTGACCCTCACCGATTCGCTTGGTGTCCCCGAAGTCCTCCTCGGGCTCTGTGTATGGCTTCAACTCCTCACCCTCATAGCCGATGTTGATCCATTTGTCTTTCATGATTTGCTGCAGGAATCGGGGGCAGGACAGGGAAGGGGGAAGACAGATGTCAGAAGAAACTGGGGGAAAATACAGCTCCCCATCGCCCAGGCAGGCCCCCAGGTAGGGCCACCTGCCCTGCCCCCCACCTCCAAGACCTAACACCCCAGAATCGAGGGCTTCCTGACAGCTAGCACCTCCTCACCCGCACCCCCAGCACCCCTCCCGATGCCACCTCCCTCCTCCGCATCATCTGGGTCCCCAGCACCCTATAATAAGCCTAGGAGCTCATTAGCTAATTACTGGCATGGCGGGGAGTGGGCGAAGCTGTTTGGGGGGTTGCGTTGAGACGGGCCCGGGAGTCTTTTCCCGGGCTGCCTGGCTCCCCTCCCCCTCCCAGCCGCGATCTTAAGCAGATGGACACCGGAGAGGAGAAATGAGGGCACGAAGGTTGAAATGGGAGGGGTGCGGGGCTAGGGCTTACCTCGAGAGTACAGCGTTTAGCTGGGTTCAGCACCAAAAATCTCCGCAGGATGCTCTCACAGTCTGTTGACATGTAGAAAGGGACCCGGTACTTCCCTCTGAGGACTCGCTCCCGCAGCTCCTGGGGGGACGGGGTTACTGGGGGAGGGGTCCACCCCACCTCCCCACCCATCACTCACTCACGCGCATGCATGCGCGCGCGCACGCACACCTTTCTCCCAATCCCCTCACAGAAGCAACAGGTGGCAAAACCCCACCCCTTTTAATTTTTTTTAAGATTTTATTTATTTGAGAGAGAGAGCACAAGCAGAGGGAACAGCAGGGAGAGGGAGAGGGAGAAGCAGGCTCCCCGCCGAGCAGAGAGCCCGATGCGGGACTCGATCGCAGAACCCTGGGATCACGACCCGAGCTGAAGGCAGCCGCTTAACCGACTGAGCCACCCAGGCGTCCCCACCCCTCTCTCCTCAGCACAATTCCCCATCTCTAAAATGGGAGCCCTGTATACGACTTCGTTCCGAGGAAATCTCACAGAGAAAGCGAATTCTACAAGCCGGGTCAGACGCGAGTCAGCATCCGGGGCCTCAGTCTCCTCTGCACCCAGGGCTCCCAGCGCCCACTTGCCAGGCCAGGGTGTGAGTGAGTTTAAGTAAAATGTCCAGCACATGTCTGGCCCACAGCAAGTGCTACTTCAATATGAGGTTTAGGAAGGGTGAAGGGGGGGGGCGGGCGGCGGGATCCTGCCCACCCGCCTCCCACCCCTCGGATTCCCCCTCCCCTAGGCATGCCTGTCTTTCCAAAGAACTAGGAGACCCCCCTGGTAGTCCCAAAGAATGAGAACTGATTTACACGCAGACCTTTTTTTGGTAAAGGGCCTTTTATGAGGGGTCCTGCCAAGAGAGAGAAAATAAATCCCACGCACCACGCCATGGCGCACCAGGGAGAGCCCCTTCCATCCTCAGGAAATGGAGGGATGCAGGTGATGTGGGTGGGTTGGGGCGGGGGGGGGGGGGGGGGGGGGCGCGTCTCTGCGTGGAGCTCTGTGCTGGGGACTGGCCTGGGAGCCCCCTTCCCCGCATTCTCCTCAAAGGGCTGGGAGAGGCATGTGCCTGGGAGCCTCCTGGGTCTGCAGATCAGCGCAACCCTGAAGGGTCGTGCATATTTAATAATACTGAGTATCACTTTCAGAGCAGAGCACTTACCCAGAGGCTGGGCAGTGTTCTAATAAGTGCTTTATGCAAGGCACATCTGTGCTCACAACAAAGCTGTGAAGCAGGACTATGATGTCCATTTTTCAGACAAGGAGACTGAGGCCTAGAGAGGGTAAATCACTTGCAGGAAGAGCCTGCAGCAGAAAATGGCAGGACCCGGGCTGAACCCCAGACAGTCCGGCTCCAGATTCCGTGCTGTGTAAACCCCGCTCCACACTTCTCACCTCAAAGATGGTGAGAAGTAGCCACCGGGCTGTCAACACCATCACTGGTGAGGCTCCCAAGTCTAATGCCCTGGCCAGCTGCCAGGTCCCCGGGGGAGGGCTTCAGACACCCAGTTGGGCCCTAAGTGAATACTCTTCACCTCCCCATCTTACAGGTGGGGAAACAGGTTCAGAAACGGGGGTATATCCCAGGTCGCTTCGCAAGGAAATGACAGAGTGGGGACCTGCCCCCAGCTGCCTGTCTCCTTTGCCCAGAAAGGTTTCGGGGGGCTGGGGGGGGAACCAGGACAGCAGGAGGCAACAAGGGCCTGGGGCAGGTGAGACGCTGGCCTTGCCCTCGGAAAAGGTCCCTTGGCTTCATGCTTGGGGTTCAGATTATCCTGTGATCGTGAGCGCTTCGCACGCCTGATCTCAGCGAGCCCTCCAATCGCGGCTACAAGGCTGGTTACCCTAGAGATGCGGAACAGAGCGGGAGCCTGAGGCTCAGAGGGGTTGGCCGCTCGGGGGGCTCCCTCCTCCTCATCACTCAGGTCCCTGCTCTTGTGGCCTGTCCTCGGCAGCGACCTCGCTGGCCTCCTGAGCGCTCCTAGCTCGTGGGCCACCTCGAGAGGACCGAGCGTTCCTGCTCGCACCACCGGAACCCCATCACGAGGAAACGCCGCTCACCCCAAATGGAGGGGGGGCCCTGCGGCACAACTTGCCCGAGTACCACAAAGCTCCACAAAGCCACGGCACGAAAGACAGAGGAACTGCTCGAGATGAAAGGAGGCTTTTAAGACACCGGTCAACTGCGGGCAACTCGGAAGCCTGAATAAACACTGGAGCGGGAGAGAAAGAACTACAGGGACAGTCTCAGGACAGCTGAGGACATCGGAGCGTGGCCAGGACTGCACCACCATGGTTCTCCCCGAGCGTGGCCGCAGACAGGAAAATAACCCCGTCTCAGGAGGTACCTGCTGTGTGTCCCCTTCAGGGACAGAGGGACGTGATGCTGCAACGAACCCCCAAACATTCCATCAGGAACGATGCGCCCGGACAGACCGACGGGGCCAACGCGGCCCCACGCTCGCTACCGGAGCGCCTTCCGGAAGGTAGTTCTCCGTCCCCACCCCCAACCCCCAGCACTGGCCAGATTCTGACATGATGTACGTTTTGCTTATTTATTTTGTTTTCAAAGACCAGGCCAGTCCCCAGTCGCCAGCACAGAGCTCCACGCAGAGACTCCCCCCGCCCCCCAACCCACCCACATCACCTGCTCTGCTCTTTCCCGTGAGGGCAGGGATTTTTCCGTTTGGAGTGCCCAATTCAAAGGTTGTGAGTACGCTCACCGAGTTATGTGGCCATCACCGGGCCGTTCTAGAACGTTTCCATCCCCCCAGAGAAAGCCTGTCCTCCAACTCCCCCAGCCTGGGGCAACCGCTCATTTGCTTCCTGTCTCTGGATTTGCTCGTTCTGGACGTTTCGTAGAAATGGCATCACACAACAGGTGGCCTTTGATTGGCTTTTCCCACTTAGCGGGCTCTCAAGGGCCAGCACGTTGGAGGGCAGGGATTTTTGTCTCTTTTGTTCACACCGTATCTGTAAAACCTAAATCAGAACCTGACCCGGCCAGCCCCGCCACCCCTCTGGCCCTCTACGGAGCAGGTGTGGGGGGAGGGGCTGCGGGCCCAACTGTAGGGGGCCGGGGAGACCCTCCCGGGAGATGAAGACCTCCACTGCTGGCCCCGCCCAGCACCTTGAGGTTGTGCCCATCGAAGGGCAGGGAGCCACTGACGAGGGTGTACAGGATGACGCCGAGGCTCCAGATGTCCACCTCTGGCCCGTCGTACTTCTTGCCCTGGAACAGCTCCGGCGCGGCGTACGGGGGGCTCCCACAGAACGTGTCCAACTTTGAGCCCAGCGTAAACTCGTTGCTGAAGCCAAAGTCAGCGATCTTGATGTTGGCCTCGGCATCCAGCAAGAGGTTCTCAGCCTGGGAGGGGGTAGAAGGTAGACGTGTGTGGTGGACAGGAGCACGAGCTCCGGAGCCGCCCCCCCAACCCAGTACTGACTGTGACCCGGTCCCCTACTCCCCGTGTGACCTTGGGCAGTGACTTTATCTGTCTGGGCCTTGGGTTCCTCATCCAAAGAAGGAGGATAATCATAGCTTCTGCCTCGCAGGGCTGTCTGAGCATTAAGTGAATCCTAAAAGGCCTAGAACAATCTTTTGTACCCGATAAGCACTATAAAACATTAGCCATTATTATGCCATGTGGTCTGCAGAGCTGGGGGTCCTCAGGCAATCTCCTGCCCCTTTCTGAGCCTCAGTTTACCCAGCAGGAAAAAAAAAACCAACATGAGCACTGACTGCTCAAGACTCATAAAAATGAAAAAAAAAAATCAAGGTTCTGTCTACCTTTGGTGGCACGCATTCTTATAAATGCCATTTCGCGAGCAAGGAAACGGAGCCTTAGGGAGACCACCTCGTGCCCACAGCAAGACTCCAAAAGAGGCCTGGCCTCGCCATGGCTTGAGGGTGGAAGGAGCCTCCAGCTTCCTGCCTCTTGTAGATTTGGATACATATAGCCCTTCAAAGTGTTGCCCACGTCTGGCTGGTCCCAGCCACGGTCCTTCCCCGGCCAGGCCACCTGCACGTCTGGCTTCCTCATGGTCTCCCTACCTCCCTTCCCCACCTCCAACCCAAAAAGAGGGGCAGAGAACCCATAAAGACACACCTCAACGTAATGGCATCTCAACCTTGCTCAGGGGTGACACTTCCCTTCCTAGCGTTTGAAGCTCTGTCACCCAGCCACAACCCCGTGCCTGGGTGGCTCCCTCAGGTCAGGTTGGCCCCCACCCCCAACCCGGGGTGCACTAATCAGATCCCCCAAATCCCTTTCAGCCACTTCCAGGACCCTCCACCAGGGGGCGTGCCTCCTCCAGGTGACGGCAAACTCCCAAGCCTCAAGGGGTTTTCTCAGAGGGTCCGTACAGACACCGAGTGTGTCTAGAAACTTCTAGAGCAATTTGACAGTCGGTTTTTCTGATTTGGTTTTTTGTTTGTTTTTTTTTTAATGTAATAATAGTTTTAAAAAATTGGTCTTGTATTTTGGACATCCCCCCCCCCCCCCGCCCCCACTTCATTTTTATTGTACTTCACAAAAGTATTTGTCAGGGCGGACTGGGAATTGAAAATATTAGAACAAACCCGGTCCTTCACTACTGATACCTTGAGAAGACCTTCCTTAAGGCACGGCGTCTAGCACACAGGAGGTGTTCCAGAAACGAGAGTCAAGACAACTCGACTGAGCAGGACAAACATTTCTCTCTCCGGTCTGGGTCGAGAAGCCCTGAGACGTGTGGTTCTCAGGGTGGGAGGTGCAGAGCGGGGTGGGGGGTGGGGGGTCCGAGCTGGCTGAGTCCCTTCCTTGCTCGGAGTAGCCTCAGGAGCTCTCTCTCTCTCTCTCTCAAAGGTCCTTCTCGAGCTCGGAGATGCCTGCGATTCTAAGGCCCAGAAGCCATGTGACTCTGGGGCTCTAGAACCTCAGTTCTCGAAGGTTCCTGAATGTCCTAAAGTCTGAGAGATGCCAAGGCTCCAAAGGCTCTGAGAGCGGTGAGCCCTTTATCGAGTCCTTGTTCAGCACACACGTAATTGTGTGCAATGTCCTCGGACGTTTCGTTTCCTTTCCTTTGTTCTCTCCTCCTGCCCCCACCTCCCTACCTGCTCCCCCATCTGCTGGCCTTCCTCTGCCGTGGAAGCTTGGGAAAGAGTCAAGGGGCCCCGGATGCTGAGGGGGGAGGACAGGGAGAAGAGCGAGGGAGTGCGGAGGCTACAGGGGATCCCCAGGGGGCCTGGAGGCGGGACTGGGGACAAGTGCGGGCTGCAGTGGGGAGCCTGCCGCGGGGCGGGGGGCTCACCTTCAGGTCCCTGTGTACAATGTTTTTCTGGTGACAATAGTGCACGGCTGACACAATCTGGAGTGGAGGGAAGAGAAGGTCAGCGACCTGTGGCCCCAAATCCCTCGGCCTCTCCCCGGCCCCACGACCCTACTCACAACCAAGACCCAGAGCCCCAGGCCTCCACCCCTGGGCACAGGCCGGGATGCCGGGGCCTCATGCCCCGATTCAACCACAGTGGGAAATGCCAAGGGCCCTGCACGGACCCACATCCCCACTCAGACCGCTGGACACCCTCAGAGCCCTGGACACCCTCCCGGCACGGGCCTCGGAACCAGGACATCACAGCCGGTCCCCTCCCGACTTTCCCATCCGGAAACACACATAAGAACACTGCATACCCACAGACGGACACTCTGCCCCGATACGCCCAGTAGAGCCCCATCAGGGCATCTGGACAGTCGTGGACCAACACCCTGGCTCAAATCCCTTCCCCCATCGGACACGCACCCCTTAGCCGGACACCTGGGCCCCCTCACGCATACGCTTCTACCCGCCCAGCTACACCCTTCGTATCTGGGCACCCAGATACCTATTGCCCCCACGCCGCATCCGCACGGCCCCGCTCACAGGCTTCGGGACCCTGGCACCTGTTAGCCACACTCCCATGCGCTGGGTCCACCCTCGCACCCACGCGTCTGACATCCGCCCACCTGCATCAGGGCATCCTCACACCCGGGCGTCTGCAGGCTTGTGGACACCCGGACTTCCACCCCCAGATCCCCCCCTGCGCGGGGATGGGGCGTCACTCTCAGCCCTGCCCACAGCCTTGACCGCCCCCACCTGTCGGAACTTGGCTCGAGCTTCCTTCTCCTTCATGCGGCCGTGGGACACGAGGTAGTCAAACACTTCTCCTGCAGGGCAGAGGCCAAGCGGGGTCAGCGAGGGGCGTGGGGGGCGCAGGGGCAGGGCGGGGAGGGACGCCTCACCGGCACTTGCGTATTCCATCACCAGGTACAGCGTCTTCTCCGTCTCGATCACCTCGAAGAGCTTCACTGCAAGGACCCGGGGGGAGCAGGGTTATTTGGGACAAGAACCCCCCAGCTCCGCCCACACTCTGTAACTACGCATGTGCTGACCAGAACACCCCCTTACTCAAGAACGCTCCATGGCTCCCTACTGATGGCAAGATTTCCCAAACTCCTCAGCCCTACTTCACCACCTTTCCTACTTTCTCTCTCACAAGAAAGTCCGCTCTCTGAGGCCGAGATTTGTGTCTGTTTTCTTTCCTGCTTATGCTAGATAGCAGCCACTCAATAAACATTTCCCGAGTGAACAAACACGTGGATGAATAAATGTTGTGGCCACATCCAGGCCAGGCTAAGTCCTGTCTCCCCTCTGCCTCACAATGACAAGGACAGTGCTCACTGCTGCTGACGGTAATCAGACCAGGTCCCCCAGCTTAGTTGTGAATGGAGTGTTTCGAATGCTCAGTCTTATCCAAACCCCACAATGACCTTGAAGTAGGCCTTCTTATAAACCCCATTCCAGAGGCGGAAACTGAAGCTCAGAGAGGTTAAGTGACTTGCCCAAGGTCACAGAGCCAGTGAGCAGCAACACCGCTAAGAGAAAACAGGTCTTTCTAACTGTGAAAACTGCCAATTCTTTGGTCCCCCAACTCTCTCCTCTGCCAAGTGCCCCAGCTGGTAGTCTCTGAGCCCACACTCTTCCCCTCCTCACCGATGTTGGGATGGTTTAGGCCCTTCATGATGCGGACTTCCCGGAACAGCTGGGCATGGCCAGAAAAGAAGAAAGAGAAAGATGAGGGTGGGCGGTTTCGATGACCCTCTTCCCAACCTTGTCCCCACTCCGCTCCCTCTCCCTAGGCCTCACTTTCTGCAGGCTGCTGGGGTTCAGCTGGGTTTTGTCAATGATCTTGATGGCGACCTGGAGGTGGAAGGAAGGGGTAGAAGATCAAGGTGCCAAGGGCTCGAGTTGGGAAAGGCCCTCCCAACCCAGATTGCCCAGGAGTCTTTCCTTTGCCCCCTCTCACAGGAAGCCCTCAATCAGGGCCGTTCCTGGTGGATGGGAGATCTGGGCCTCAGGACCTTTGCACAAGCCACTGTGTCCAGTGCTCTCTGACTTCTACAGGGAAATATCCCCTATTCCACAGCAGGGCCTGGGTGGGGCTACTCAGGGGCCTGTGTGAATGCGTGTGAGAGTGAGACCTTTTGAGGGCCCCTCCGTGAGGGCACCTCAGGCCATTCACCCAGCATGTCTTGTTTGTCTTGCATGCATGAACTGTGAAACAATAAATAACTGTAGCTAACATTTCCTGAGGAGTCACCGGGCCTCAGTCTGTGTGCTTTACAAACGAGAACTCTTTCAATCCTTCGCAGTATGAGTGTTAGAATTATCCCCATTTTACAAGCTGGGAAACTGAGGCACAGAATTGCTCAGGCAATTGGCCAAGGTAACATGGCTAGTAAGTTTGTGGACTGGGGTTTGAACTCATGCAGCCTGATCAAGTTTACCTCTTAAACATCTAAAACCGAAGAAAATACGTATAGTTTATTTATTTTTAAAAATTTTTAAAGTAATCTCTATAGGGGCGCCTGGGTGGCTCAGTTGGTTAAGCGACTGCCTTCAGCTCAGGTCATGATCTTGGAGTCCCGGGATCGAGTCCCCATCGGGCTCCCTGCTCGGCGGGGAGTCTGCTTCTCCCTCTGCCCCTCCCCCTCTCATGTGCTCTCTCTCATTCTCTCTCTCTCAAATAAATAAATAGAATCTTTAAAAAAATAATAATAATCTCTATACCCAACGTGGGGCTCGAACTCACGACCCTAAGATCAAGAGCTGCATGCTCTTCCAAGTGAGCCAGCCAGGGACCCCTAGTTTTAAAAGAGCTTTGAGCAGTGACCATGGGGGAAGAATCGGAAAGTTAATGAACTCTCCTTATATGCATCCTGCAGTGGGGTTAAGTTTTTATTTTGAATTGCACTTTGGGGCAGAGCCCCGTAACTTTTTCAGTAGTGAGGGACCTTTAAAAGTCTTATCTCAGCTCTAGGTCTATAGTTTCCCCAAAGGGTTTTGGGGTCACCCCCAGATCCCCTGGATTACAGAATCCTTCCCCTGGGAGGCCCAGTTTCCTTAGAAGCTGATCCTCTAGTAAGCCCCTGGAATCAAGTTCAAAATCCACACAAGGGGAACGACGTATTCTTTGTGCAGGAGAGGGTCCGTTAGCTTTTCTCATATCCTCACAAACGGGTTTTTAATTTTGGCACTTTTCATGCCAGTATTGAGACGATCATATGGTTTCCCTCCTTGAATCTGGGAATGTGGCGAAGTACACGAATAAATTGTCAATTTGAAAAGAACTGTGCATTCCTGGGATGAACCCAGCTCTGTCATCACACGGCTTTCTTTAACTGATGTGACGGGTCTCTTTGCTAATATTCTGTTTGAGATTTTTGGATCTATGTTCACATGTAAGGCCAGCCCATAATGGTATCCGTAGCTCGTTCTGACGTCTTGGTCATCGTGCAGCTAGCACTTCCAATCAGCGGGGCAGTGGAACCTCTTTCGTTAATCTCTGGAAGGATGGGCATAAAATTGGAATGTTTGGTAGAACATGCCCATAAAACCATAGGAGCCTGGTATCTTTTGTGTGTCTGGTGTGGATGGCGTGTGGGCAGGACAGAGTTCATCCCAGGCAGCGGAAATCGCTCCAGCCACGTCCTCTAAAATTAAAGGGGAACAGAGGAGTTCCCCCCTCCCCCTGGCGTGAGTGAGAGGCTTCATATCTAGGTTACAAGGTCAGGTCTGTGTGGGCGCAGTAATGTTGCCCTACTCTGGGGGCAAGGAGAATGGGACTGTGGGGAATTGAGAACTCCAGTGAGTTCTCGTGTGGTCTCATGAAGATCGCTGCAAGGTCTGACGGAACCAAAGCCCACCACTGCAACGGGGAAGTGGTCCGGGTTTAGACACAAAAGCCGTGTGAATTCTTAGAAACACAACGCACGGCTCTGCCCGCGATCTGAGAGTTCCCAACAATTCCAGGGACGATGACCGATATTTAATGAGCACTGGCCATTAATGCGCCATCATCCCTGTTTTAAGGTGGGAAAACTGAGGCCCAGAGGTGAACACAGTTTATTCTAGAGCTGATGTCCTCCCATCACCTCATACTCCCACATCATTTTTTTTTTTTTTTAAGCTCTAGGCCCAACGTGGGGCTTGAACTCATGACTCAGAGATCAAGAGGCACGTGTTCTAGGGCGCCTGGGTGGCTCAGTCATTAAGCAACTGCCTTCGGCTCAGGTCATGATCCCAGGGTCCTGGGATCGAGCCCCACATCGGGCTCCCTGCTCGGTGGGAAGCCTGCTTCTCCCTCTCCCACTCCCCCTGCTTGTGCTCCCTCTCTCGCTGTCTCTCTCTGTCAAATAAATAAATAAAATCTTTAAAAAAAAAAAAAAAGGCACATGCTCTACTGACTGGGCCAGCCAGGCACCCCACCCATATGGTTTTTTATTAAATAGCCTTTACTACGGGCCAAGTCCTGGGCTAATAAGGACCTCATCTACATTTAATTCCCACGGTAGCCCAATTCTACTTGGATTCTTCTGGACAAATCTGAGATGTCCTGACCTGTCCCGGGGAGAGAGTCAGGGACTTAACCTGAGATCATGAAGCAAAGCGAGGGCCAAGTCTGACTCCGCCCCCACCTCCCACAATGCTGGTGCCGGAGGGCTGGGCCCCGCACCCTGCCCATCCCCCCACTCACCTCCCGTCCGGTGAGGATGTGCCGGGCCAGCTTGACTTTGGCAAAGTTGCCTTTCCCAATGGTTCTCAGCAGGCGGTAGTTGCCCACGTGGGGCTGCTCCTCGGGACAGGAGGCGATGGAGTTTCGGCAGCGGGCACCCAGGGAGCGGCTGGACCAGGACGGTCCCTTGTCCGAGGAGCGGCCACTGCCCAAGGTGCCATGCTGGACGGGGGGACGGAGCGTGAGCGGTGGGCAGTGCCCATCCGATCCCGCCTTCGGTGGCTCCCGTGGGCTGGGGCGGTTGGCTCCAGCCACGGCCACTGGCCCCTTCGTGGTCCTTCTCGAACGCGGGCCAGAGAGAAGCACGCTGCCTTTGGGGGTCCCCATCTCTTGCTATAAGAAGACGCCTCCAAGAACAAAAACGCTGGGGTCCCCCAACTCTACAGCATCTGGGATCCCAGACATCAGGCTCCCCTCCCCACCCCCCAAATCCCGACATTCAGGCTACCCCCAACTTCCTTTTCCAGGTGCTGGGACCATGGTATTTTACTCTAAACACTGTGGTCCTCAATCCCAATCTGTGTCCTCAATCTGGGTTCAACTCCACCCCAGGTCTCTCTCGCTGCTCTCGACTTCCCGGGTCACCCATCACCTCCCCATCCGCCAGCCCCCCGTCCCCTGATTCTACTCTGAACCCCAAGAGCAGCATTTTATTCCCAGCTTACTGCCCCTAACATTTTCTCCCAATTCTTCTTGCCCCAAATTCGACTCCAAACACTGTAACCAACACTCTTTCATTCTGCCCTGACCTTCCAGCCCCACACGGTTACCTTCCTCCCGTGGAAACACTGTTGCCTCCCCCTCGTGGCCCCCCCCACCGCCCTGGGAACCGCTGTCTCCCACACCCGCGCTCCCATCTGTCCCCGACGTTCTGTTCCTGCTGTCCTGTCCCTCCTGGGCCTCTCCCCCGCAGGTCACTGCCTGCTCCTGATTGTGAGCCCCAGGGACTGTGCCTCCCTTTCAGCGCTGGGGCCCAGGGTGCAGGCTGCGGAGGGAGCCAGAGGCCCCAGCAGAGGCAGCTCTGCTCAGACCCTGCGCTGCCCTCCCTGCTTCCCGGGGCGGGGGTGGGAAGCGCGGGGACAAAGGTTGCTGAGGAGGAGAAAGGCCAGGTAGACAACAGGGAATCCGCATGGCTACTGTCTGATTCAGTCATCATCCCCATCTTAAGGTGGGGAAACTGAGGCCTGGAGCAGGACAGAGTTTAGCCCAGAGTTGCTGACCCTCACCATCACCTTCTCACGCTGACTCACACTCCTACATGTTTTTATTACGCTGCTTTTACTACGGGGCCAAGGCTCGGGCTAGTAAGCACCTCATCTCCATTTAATTCCCACGGGAGCCCACTGAGGGCGGAACCTACATCCTCACACTCCAGAGGAGAAACTGAGGCTTGGAGAGAGAAGGTACCATGTCAAGGTCACACAGTTCCCCCACAAGGCGCAGAAGGACCACCGCCGCCGCTGCGGCCCTAACCACAGGCCCGCTGCCCACTGTGCCCTCACCCGGGGCCTCCTGCCTGGGTCCAGTTACCATCCACACTCTCCAGACAGGGACCCCCAAGGCTGAGGCAGGGTGAGCACCTTGGCCAAGGTCAGGGATTTGATCCCGGGCCTGGGGGCTCCTGAGTACTGAGCTCTTACCCACATCCCACTGAGCGGCTCACAACCCCAGGTCTCCGCCCAGGGGAAGGAGGGCAGGCAGGGAGGTGGAGATCCTGGCTGATAAGGCCCTGATCCCCACCGAGATAAGGTCTTGGAGAAGAATCCCCATCAGGTGGCACCAGGGGAGCCAAACTGGGGGTGGGCTGGCACCCCACTGAAAGCAGCATGCTTGAGGGACCCCTGCAAGGGGCGGCTGGGGCAGTGGGTGACAGAGCCCCCAGGGGCCGGGGGCGGGAGCTAAAATTGGCCCACACCACCAGCTGGCCCGGCTCCCTCCCTCCCGCCCGGCTGGAGCCCCAACACGGGGCCTGTTGCTAGGGAACCTCCAGAGAGTTCGGCGGTGGGGGGGGGCTGGAACTTGGGGTGGGGGAGCATGACCCCACATGGCTGTTGTCATGGTAACCGGGTGGCAGGGGAAGAGCCTGAGACCTCCAGTTCCAGAGGGAGAGGTGAGCCCCAGGCAGGACAGACAAGCAGGACTTACACACTAGTTGGGAGGACAGGAGACAAGAGGAGAGAAGGGGACTGGCCCTCCTCAAATGCCCACCAGGCACAAGTCTGGACCACGAAAGAGGAGGAAGTGCTCGGATGAGCCCCATTTTACAGATGAGGACACCGAGGCTCACGGCAGTGACGTCACTTGCCTGAGGTCACACAGCTAGGGAGGGACAGAAACTAGATTTGAAGTGCATCTTACTCACATCCTCTCCTTGGCTCCCTAAAACATCCCTAACAGGGAGGTGCTATCATCAACCCTATTTCGAGATAAACTGAGGCTCGGAGCAGGGAGAGGATCCGTGAGCTCCTGCAACCACCCGATGACAGGCCCCAGGTGGAGAAAGCATGGCCCATCTGACTCATATTGTGACTATTCACGATAGCAGCGGACAAGTGTGGAGTGCGTCCTATGTACCAGGCTTCCCCCGTGTCATCTCGAGTCGTCCTCTGAGGGACTCAAGTGATCATCCCCACTTTCCAGCAGGAAACTGAGGCACAGAAAGGAAGAACGAGTAGTCTGAGGGCACAGAGCCAACCGGCTGGCAGAGAGAGCCAGCATTTGAACCCAGGCCCGTGGGCTCCCTGGCACTTCCTGAGGGACTTGGGGGAGGGATGGGGATCTCACCAGAGACTCCAAATCAGAGTCTGGCCTATCGTAGGTGGGCTGCAGCGGCGGCGGCGGCGGGGGTGGGGGGTAGGGGGGTGGGTGCTCTCTATGAGGGAGGGTCTTGCAGGATGAAGGGACGGAGATCAGTCTCTCTGGTGGGGGATCTGGAGTGAGGGTGGCTGGGTGGGGGTGCAGGGACCTAGCAGAGGCCTAGGGGAAAAGGGACAAAGACCCCAGCTGGGGGTGGTGGGAGGCCCTTTGGAAGGGCTGAGAGTAATCAGAAACCTGGGAGATGGGAAGGGGGGGTCTCCCAGGACTGTTCTGGGCTGTGGTATAGGGACAGAGGGCCTGGGAATAATGGGAAGGATTAAAGCCATGGGGCAGTGGAACTCAGAAGAGCCAAGGAAACTCCTAGAAGTTAAAGGAGGGGGTTTCTAGGAGTTTCTAGTCTTTGGAAGCAGAGAAAGGTCCAGGAGCATGCAAGTCCTGGAGAAGGGGCTTGCTGGGCAAGGAGCAACCCAGAAGAAGAAAGCCTGAGCCTTGTGGATGTCAAAAGGGCCTAGAAACTTGGGGAGGAGGTTTCCAGCAGACAGACCCCAAGAGAAGAAGGCTTACAGCCAGGGCAAGACCCCAGGCTTCGAGTCCGGGAGTCTTCTGGAAGGAGGATCTGGGGCCTAGCCTTGTGAGTGGGGAGAGGCCTCCGAAGCTGAGGAGGGGGTTTCCCTGGGAGGCCAGACCCCCAGGAAGGAAGAGGGAGGCCCTGGGGCCAGAAGGGATGGGGACCTGGAGATTAGGGGAAGAGGTGGTGTCCTGGGAGGAAGCTCCTGGCCTAGGAGGGGATCAAGGGGTTGGGGGCTTGGGGAGGGGGCTTGCCTGAAGCTGAGAAGTTGATACAGGGAGGATGAGGCCTGGAGTCAGACTGGTTCAGGGCCTAGAAATCCCAGACTAGGCTAGGGGCCTGGAAGTTGGAGGCCAAGGCCAGAGACGGTCTGGGGGGTACTGGGAGGGGGGGACCCAGAGTACTGGGAATCCAGGGACAGGGCTGCTTGGAAGATAGGGGCCAGGCCTGGGAGTGGAGAGACCTTGAACAAGCTAGAGAGGGCCCTGGGCCCAGGAAAAGGTGGAAACCGGCTTCCTGTGAGGGGGTGCCCACAGGATCTGGGAGGATCCAGAGGGGCGGAGGGCTGAGAATGAGAAGAGGGGGGTTCCTGGGGAGCCCGGCACCCACATCCAGATGGGGAAGGCCGGAGCCAGAGGCAGGACTGGGCCAGGCCTTCCTGGGAGAGGGCCAGGGCCGGGCCTTGGGGTCAGGAGCCCTGCAAATCCGGGAGGGGGCGAGTTATCGGATGCGGGCGGCCAGGAGGGGAAGGGGCTTAAGAACACGCCGGAGAAGGGAGGGGCTCCTGGAAGGCAGAGGAGGGGGCTTCCTGGAGGGAAGAGACCGGAGCGGAAGCGGTCTGCAGAGGGACAAGAGGGGGGTCCCGAGAGAGGGGCGCCCCCAGGGGTCGGGCTGAGCTGGAGTGGGGGAGGGTCGAGAGGCCTGGAAGTCCGGGCGGGGGTCGGGAGGTGGCAAGCTGGGCCGGGCCCGGGGAATGCAGGTAGGGGCTCGCGCGGCGAGGGGCACACCAGGACGAGGGGTTCGGCGGCTGAACCCGACCGGCGCTCCCCAAGGGGCCGGGCCCCACTCACCGTGTCCGAGTTCCGATCGTTGCCCGGGGCCAGCGCCGTCCGCGAAGACATTTTCTCCGGATCCCGGGGGACTGGGCGGCCGGGTGGGGGGGGCGGGGGTCCCGGGGTCCCCTCTCTTCCCCTCCCCCCCCGCTGGCCTGGGGACGCGAGCTCAAAAGCTGGGCGCCGTGGACACCCGGGTTCGCGCCGCGGGAGAGGGGGGCAGGGCGGGGAAGGGAAGGGGACGCCGAGGGTCCTAGTGGCCCCGTGCAGTGGGGGCCCGGGGCGCCATGGGGGCGGCGGGCAGGCGGGCGGGCGGGGGCCGGGGAGGGGGCGCGGAGCCGGCCCGGGCGGCGGCGGAGGGAGGCGGTGGAGGGGCTGGGGAGGAAGGGACGTCAGGGGGAGGGGCGGGCAGGGCGGGGCCGCCGAGACCCCGCCCTCTGCCGCCGGCCCTTAAAGGCGCAGGCCCGGGCTAGCCGGGGGCTCTGGGGGCGGAGGCAGGTCGGGGCGCGTCGGTAGGGAGCGTGTTCTCACAGGAGTGTAGGGACTCACCGGAAGAGAAGGGGAGAAACGCCGGGGCAGAGCGCCAGAGACGCAGAGAAAGATACTGAGAGACGCAGAGATAGGGAGAGACAAAGAGACACAAGGGGAGAGGGACAGAGGTGGGGAGAAACCCAGACACACAAAGATGTAAAGGGAGCCGAAAGATCGGAGCGACAATAAGAGAAAGAAAGAAAGGGAGAAAACACAGGGAAAGAGACACACACAAAGAGACAGAGATTCAGAGAGAACAGAGACACAGAGAGCGACAAAGCCTGAGAGACCCACACACGGACACGGAGGGAGAGGCAAAAAGAGACAAAGAGAGACAGAGACTCAGAGACCTGTGAGGAGAATGGAGACAGCGACAGAGGCGGAGAAGCCCCCAGGGACGAGAACCAGGCAGACGGCGCTGTCCACATTCTGCCTCCCAGCCACCCTCTCCCATCCGGTCGAGGGGCCCAGGAAGTGCTTGGGAGCATAGGGCTAAGGGTGCTGGGGGCAGAGTGTGCTAGGCAGAGCCACTGCCAAAGCCGGACCACCATCTCTAGCCAGGTTGCCTCCCACCTCCCAGAAAACTCCAGAGCCCAAGGTCGTGGCTACCGGTTCCTCTCCTGTGCACCCCAGCTGGGATCTGAGGACTCTCCCTATAGCTCTGTGACTCAGGGCGGACCTCAGTTTCCCAACCTATAAAGTGAGGGGAAGGATAGACATGTTGCCTTCCTGGCAGGGCTGAAGCAGGTGTTAAAGAGCCCTGTGTAAGTATTCACCTGCAGGGTGCAGCTGCTGTCGGGATGGGCAAATCGAAACCAGAGAGGCAAGGGCTCCACTGAGGTCATCCAGTACTGCGGGGACCACCCATGCCCTCTAGACCAGGGTGGGATGAAAGAAAGAGGGGCATTGCGTAGCCCGCCCTGGCCCCAGAATCCCACAGCCCTTGGAGGGACGGGGTCCATGCCCTGCCCCCTGTCTGACTGATCATCTTCTCGAGCCTCAGTTTCCCTTTCTAAAATAGGGGTGCGATGCCAACAGCGGTGTGTTGGGAGTCAGCCCGAGTGAGCTGACTGTTAAAGTCGCAGGAATTTTGGAACTGGTTGTTAAACAGCCATTATAAAAAATTGAATTATGCAAACATGTAATTAAATAAGTTATACTGAAAACAAAGGTAATAAATACTCATCACAACCCAATTATTTGACTACATTTTACTATTATCTGTGATCCTGAGGTTATTTACATCTATTGTACGTTCATAGAGATACAGCCGTATAACGTGCTACTGCGCATCTCTTCCCCGCAAAACTCTTTCAGTGACATCACTGTGGCTTGACATCACTGAATTCGAGCTTGAATTAGTCATGGTGGGAATATTTACACCATGGAAATTGGCACACGCCACAAATCAAGGCTCCCTGCCCCCAACCCCCCAGAGAGCTGGTTGTGAAACATTTATCAGCACATCACTGGTTTATACTCTCAGCTACATAGACTCACAGAGGCTTCCTTTTGTCAGGCTCTGAGCCCTTTATCCTTTCTGCCACCCTGTGAGGTTGGACCATCATTATCAGCCCCACTTACACAGGAGGAAGCAGAGAGCCTAAAAATTAAAAAAAAAAAAAAAAAAAAAAAAATCACAGGCTGAAGGTCACATGGCTGGTGAGTAGCAGGACTGAGATCTGAAACAAAGTGCCTCCAAACTCTGGAACTTGGGCTCTTAACCACTATGGCTTCCTGTCCCTGAAAAATCAGTCTGCAGTAAATTAATGAGACTATATACGTAAAAGCTCCGCGTGTGAACAGATTAGAACTTTATAAGTGGATGACATTACTGTTGTTACTCAGCAGATGGGGCCCAAGGAGTCCCGGGGATGGTGGGATGCACAGAGGGAGGAGTTCAGGCCGGAGTTCTGGAAGGTTTGAGATCCCAAGGGCTCTGCAGGGTGAGGGCTGGGGTCTTGGGGATGGGCTGGGGGAGCTGAGTCACTCCTTCCCAGGCTTAGCAGGGAGCGCTGCAGTTCTCCCAGGCACCACGAGGGGGCAGCAGATCCCCTCCCTCCACACACCTGCCCACCACACCTCAGGCCCCACCCCGGCTCCCCTGACCCCAGCAGTGGCCCCACCCCACTTCCCAGACGAGGGCACTGAGGCTAGATGAGGGGGGAAGCTACAAAATGCTGAACCTTAAAAATGATGAGCCTGCTTCTCCCTCTGCTTGTTGCTCCCCCAGCTTGGGCTCTCTCGCTGACAAATAAATAAATAAAATCCTAAAAAAAAAAAAAAAAAAAAAGAGCTCTCTCTGCCCCTCCCCCCTAAAAAAGGGTGAATTTTTATGGCATGTGAATTATATCTCAATACAAAATTAAATTTAAAAAAAGAGGAGGAGAGCTGACAGCTGTCCCCACCCACAACAGGCCGGCTGGTTCCAGCCAGGGCTACTCACCGTCTTCTGATTACCTCGATCCACACTGACCTGCTGAGGACAAAGCCTCCCCCTCCCCTCTTGGCCACTCAAGCAGCTCCTTTCCCAGGGCCCATTGTCTGGCAAACCCAGTCCTTGATCTGAAGCCTTCAGACCTTGGAATCTTAACCCCTGACCCACTTCTCCCAGCCTGAGCGTCTACAGAGCCCTTTCTGGGGCCGGGGACAGAAGCAGTGATCCCTGAATCCAGCCCTGACCCTAATCCCACACCAACCCCAACTTTGCCTAGGCACGTGATCTCTTGTCCCAGGCCTAACACCTGGCCTAACGCTGTGCCTGACCTCCCTAAAGACATCCTAAACCTAAAACCTTAAAAGTAACTCTAAGGGGCGCCTGGGTGGCTCAGTTGGTTAAGCGACTGCCTTCGGCTCAGGTCATGATCCTGGAGTCCTGGGATCCAGTCCCACATCGGGCTCCCTGCTCAGTGGGGAGCCTGCTTCTCCCTCTTACCCTCTCCCCTCTCATGCTGTTTCTCTCTCTCTCTCTCTCAAATAAATAAATAAATAAAATCTAAAAAAAAAAAAAAGTAACCCTAATCCCGCATCTAACCCCACCCAATCCCCAACCCATTCCCAGCCCCCACTGCACCTGCTACACGCATCCCCAACTTCCAATCCTTAGCTCTAATCTATCCCCATGTGTGCACTCGGTTAATAAATCTCTAGTGAGCACCTATTATGTGCCAGGCACATATCTAGGGATATAAAGATGAACAGGTAAACAAAATCTGCTTTGAATTCACATTCCAATGGGAGAGTCGGAAACTCTACAAGGGAGGGACACCTAGGTGGCTCAGTCAGTTAAGCGTCTGCCTTCAGCTCAGGTCATGATCTCAGGGCCCTGGCATCAAGCCCTGCTCAGCGAGGAGCCTGCCTCTCCCCCTGCTTGTGCTCTCTCTGCCAAATAAATAAATAAATAATAAATAAATAAATAAATAAATAAATTCTTAAAAAAAGAAAAAGAACTCTACAAGGGAGACAGAAAGCTTATCATTCAAATTGAGGAAGGTGATATAAAGGAATTGACCAATCAGGTCCAGTCCCTGGGAGAGAGAAGGGTTGGGGGGGTGTGGTGTGTGGAGAAGAGCTTCTGCTGCTCAGGGAATGTCTCCTTTGAGGAACAGATGCTGGAGCTGAGGCCAGGACAATGTCGAAGGAGGCAGCCATGCAGGGACCTGGGGACAGGGCCTTTTAGGCAGAGAGAACAATTCCAAAGCCATGCCCAGTGCCACCCCCTTTCGGCCTCTAATCCCAGCTTCTGGGCCAGCAGAACCTTCCTCCTTGTCTCTACTCCAGAGCAAGGACCCTGAAGGAGAGCTCTGGGCCCGTGTCCAGCATTGGTGTCTCCCCAGGGTGCCCAGGATGGTGTTGTCACCTTGGAAGGCGTGAAGAGCAGGCAGGAGGGGGGCCGATTCCGGGTGGGGATGAGGGTGGGGGCCGGGCTGTGGCCTTGTCCTTCCCAGCACAACCCCAGCTTGGCCTAAAAGGGCAGACAGATAAAGAGTCCTTCCCGCCCCTGGGCCCAGAGAGGGAGGGGTTTCCTGACAGGAAATTGACCTCCTCTAACCCCCCCCCCCCCAGTTCCAAGCTCTAAGCAGTTCTGACTGAAGTGTCCTCAGGGCAGGACAGTAGCCGCAGGGACAGAAGGACGGAGGCACTGACTACGTAGGAGGTGAGTGTGTTGGAGGAGGGGGCAGGACCCGCATGCCCGCAGCCCGGGGTCCCCCCTGGATCTGGGCTGGACCAGAGGTGGTGAGAACACATGCCGTGAAGCCAGGAGAGGCAGGAGGCAAAGAGAGAATGTGGGGTCTGACCTCAGGAGGGTGCCAGAATGAGGGTAGGAGGAACTGGGAGCAGGAGGAGGGCGCAGGGAAGAATTTGGGGGCCCTGGGGATCCAGAGAAGCTTCGAAGAAGCAGGGAGAGTTTGGACCATCAAGGGAGACGAGACCCGAGCCATGGCTGGGTCTGATGCCCTCTGAGTTCAGGTGGGAAGACCGGCCAGAGAGGGATGGGTGCTTTGCTCCATCCCCAAGAGATGGGGGCTTGGAGATGGGAGAGAAGACAGGGCTGGGATGGAGACGGAGCAGGAGATGGGGTTCAGAAGGAAGGTGTGCGTGAACTTGAAACAGGCTGGGCTGGTGACAGCATTGTTTGGGGGCAAGGTCTGGGTGGGGGTTGTGTGGTTGGGGTCCAGTGTGGACACCATGTGTGAGGGCTGTTCTCTGATACAGACCTGGGGACTTCTGCAAACGGGTCAAGCTGCCCGCGGAGGGTTTAGGGCTTTGGGGGAAAAGGCTGGCAGCACAGAGGAGGAGGGGGGAGGGGAGGGGGAGGAGCCGGAGCCCAGAGAGGGAAGCTGGTGGCCAAGACATCCTGTGGGAGGTCGGGAGGCTGGGGGCTTGAGGGATGCCTCGGAAGTGAGTCAGGGGCTGGGCACTGGGAGGCAGATGAGGGGCCTGGAGGGGGCAGGATGTTGGAGCCAGGAAGGGGAAAGAAGAGGGGGCCGCTTTTCAGAAGATGTTGCAGTGGGCTCTGAGGATGTTGGAAATGGTTTGGGGGTATGGGATCCAGTTTAGGGATGGATGTGGGAGCCAGTGGGGGAGTGGCAAGTCCAGTTTGGGTCATGTTGACTTCTGTTAGAGGGAAGTGGGAGCCCCCTGTTTTGCAGGGGAGGTGGGGTTTTGGGGGGATGATGGAGGCAGTTCCGGGGGACAGTGAAGCCATTTGGGGGATGAAGCACAGAGAAGCCTATTTGGAAAACGAAAGACAGAAATCGGCGTGTGGCGTGTGTGTGTGTGTGTGTGTGTGTGTGTGTATGGGGGGAGTAGTATCGATTCCCCACAGCCGTGGGGGCTCCAGGCAAGGGTTGGCATGGTGACTGCCTCCCTGGGGGACAGCGGACCATGGAGACTGGAGAGAAGCTTGAGGGACAACAGCTGAGGTCTAGAGGCTGAAGTCAGGGAGGAAAGAAGGGGGTCACCACCACGAAAGGAGATGCCCTCGCTCACAGCCCAGCCAACTCAGGGCCCTTTGAGCATCCTTCCAGATGATCCATGCAACCCCCCGACCCTGACCCCCGACGCCTGCCCAATCCCGACCCTGTCCCTCACCTGCTCAGAACCCGTCCCAGTTCAAAACAACCTACGTGGCCAGCAGTAGGAGAACGTGTGAACGGCTGACAGCCGATCCAGGTTTGCCCCGCAGCCCTTCGGTGGAATAGTACGCAACAATTAAGAGAAATCAGCTAGAGCCACAGAGCGAGGCATGGCTACATCTCACTTGTATGTGAGCCAAAAAACAGCCATCGGACAGCAAGTTGCCGGATGCGCATAGTATGACAGCATTTACAGAGAGCCTGAAACCATGGGAAACAATGCATTATTTCTGGCTGCAAGTCTGCGGAGGCATAGAGTGAAAAGTCGGCTTGGATGGGGGACACACATCCCGGATCTGCTTTCCTTGGGGGAGGGCTAGAGTACGCAGGGTCAGGAGGAGAGTTGGGGGGCTTCGGTGCATCTGTAAGGCTTGATTCTTAAAAAAAAATAAATAAAGGCAACTCGAACCAAGTAGAGCGAATGTTTGCATTAGATGCTGCTAGGATTGGAGGCACAGGGGGTGTTTGTTTTCTAATTTTTTCTGAATTTCTGAATGTTTGAACTATTTCATCATTTTAAAAAGCGCCCTTCCGTGGCTCCCCAGTGTCCTCGGGAAAAAGCCCAAGTCCCTCCTCATGGCCCTTTGAGGCCTTGCATGTCCTGCTCTTTACTGACCTCTCCAGCTTGACTCCTCCTCACCCCCAAGGAATGAGGTCCTTCCCTCCTTCCTTTGTTTCCTGTTTAGCACCCATTCATTTCTTGTGCGCCTGCCCTGGGAGCTGGGGACACAGCGGTGACTGAGACAGCCTGACCCTGACCTCTCGGGGCTTCACAGTCCAGTGGGGGACACAGACTCATCCCCAGACAGTGACAACTCAGGGTAGGCAGGGCTGGGATGGGGTAAATCCCGACGGGGGCGACTTGACTCAGCCCGGGCATCAGGGAGGGCTTCCTGGAGGAGGGGGCTTTGGGGCTGAGTCCTAAAGCCTGAATGGAGCGGGGAGAACAGGTTTCCCTGTAGAAGGATCAACACAAATGGTGGCACCCAGGAGCCTGGAGCAAGGAGGAGGAGAATGTGGGATAGCACTGGCGAGGAGCATATCTGGCCCATGAGGGCAGCTGAATTTTGTCCCAAGGGCACTGGGGAGCCATGCAAGGTTAAGAGAAGGAGAGGGAGCTGGTTTGTGCTTTAAGGAAGTCTTCAAAGGTGGGCTGGGGGGCGGGGGCAAGACAAGAGCCTGGAGACCAGGGAGGAAGTGGAGAAGCCAGAGGGGGCTTGGACTGGGGCAGGGGGCCATGGAGAGGGAGGAGATGAGGGACTTGGGAGATGGGATGAGCAGAAGTTGGGAGATTTCAAGCCCCAAGAGGGCAAGAACTGGTCTACCTTGGCCACCACTGTGTCCCCAGTGCCTTCACCGGGCAAATACCTAGTAAGGTTTTTTTTAGGGGGGGGAGGGTAGTAAAATATATAAAACATAAAATTCACCATAGGAAGCACTTTAAAGCGTAGAATTCAGCCTCATCTGGTGCATTCACAGTGTTGTCAACCATCACCACTATGTACCTGCAGAACATTTTCATTTCCCAAAAGGAAACCCAGACCCATTAAGCAGTCACTCCCCAGCCCCCCTCTCCCAGCTTATCTCCTTTCTGTCTCTATGGATTTGCCTGTTCTGGACATTTCCCAGGAAGGTTTTGCTCAAGGAATGAACAGGGTGGGGTAGAGGGGACAGGTGTGCTGGAGGGACAGGGGAGACGAGGCGGGTGCCTATGTGTGGGACGGGCTGTCTGGGTAGACGGTGGGGCCTGTGTCCCTATGCAGCTCTGCCCTTCATGGGCTGTGCCAGCTTGGCAAGCACCCTTCCCCTCTCTGAGCCTGCTTCCTCATGGAGTAGGAGGGCCCACAAAGATGATGAACCCTCCAGGCAGGAGTAAGGCAGGGAAAGGGTCTGAATGCCAATGCTCGGGGCGGGGCGGGGCGGGGGAAGAACTCCAGCCCCGGAATCAACAGGCCTGGGTCCGAACGCTGGCTTCGTCCCTGAATCACTGTGGGACCTTGGGCATCATCTGCAAAATGCGCATAATAACAGGACTAACCTCATGGGATTGGCGGGTGCTCAGACGGGGGCCTGGCAGGGGGCATTGTCGTCAGTCATCAACACCAGTACCGTCATCAATCCCAGTAATCGTCCATTATGTTTTCCCCAGGTCCCCGCCTGTCAAAATGCCCATCCTGAAGAATCTAGGGGTGGCAGATTCCAAGGTGCCCAGGGCGGGGACCCTGCCCCTGAGGTCCTCTCGGAACCCCTTTGAGGAAGTTCCAGGATTGGAAGAAGAGGAGGTTGGGGAGCTGGGGACCCTGCCCAACGGAACATCTTGTCGCCGCCGGGCCACCCTGGAGAAGCTGGCTGGCCTGGCCCCCTTCCGGTTGGCCTGGCCCCCTGGCCGGCGGGCAGGCAGCCCAGGAGATGGGCAGCCCCGCTCTTTCCTGGGCCGCGTGCTGACACCGGGGATTCGCAGGAGCTCGGCAGATTTTGGCCTCCTGGCCAGGCTTCAGGGGACCCGAGCCCAGGGCGACGAGGAGGCGGCTGGGGAGGCTGCCCGGAGACTGGCCTTCCTGAGACTAGGACGCGGGCCCAAGCCCCGCCGGGCGTCACTGGCCGAGAGGGTGGTGCCCGCAGGTGAGGCGGCTCCTGAGCCCCCACCCAAGGTCCCCGAGCCCCCAAAGGTGAAGGAGCCTCTGTCAGGTGAGTCGGGAGCCCCTCCCCACACCTGACCTCCACCTGTGATCCTACCTCCGTTCCCTTCTCCAACTTCTGTCTGCCCACCTCCATGTAGGACACCAGTCCGCCCCCCTGCAGTCCTAATCTCCATCACCAAGCCCAGGCTCTAGCTTCCTCTCCACACCTACCCCCAATCCATCCCACTCTCCAGGCACCACCGGCTTCAATCTCACCCCCATGTCCTGTGATAAGTGAATCACCAACTTTGGTCCCATCCCCTCCCAATCCCTTCCCTACCCCCAATTTCAACCCTCCTTCCCTCCCTCCCTTCAAATCTAACCTCCAACCCATCTCCTTTCAAAGTCTCCACATCCAACCTTGACCTTCTGCCTCTCCCTAACCTCCATACCCCACCCCCTTCCCATCCCCAGCCCCAACGCTGGCCCCAGACCACAACGCCCACCTCAACCTCCTCCTTCACCCCTAATCTCTTCTCCTTTTCCATCCCATTCAGAACCCCAACCCTAACTCCATCCCAGTCCCAAACCCCCAGCCTCCACCTTTAACTTCATCCCTACCTCAACTCACGTCCAAGCTTCATCTCAAACTCACTGCCATGCCCAGCGCCTACCTTCCACCTGCATCTGCCAGCTATGTCCCCCACGGCCTGTGTCCAGTTCCTGGGGCCCCCATAGTCATCGAGTCCCACATACTAGGTGGCTTAAACTACTGAAGTCTATTCTCTCAGCTCGGGAGGCTGGAAGTCTGAAATCAGGGTGTCAGCAGGGCCACATATCCTCGGAAACTCAGAGTGGAATCCTTCCTCACCTCTCCCTGCACCTGATGCTTTGCCAGTCAACCTGGGAGTTTCCTGGCTCTCGGCCACCTCACTCCTGTTCCTGTGTCTCCACACGGCCTTCTCGCTGTGATATCACATCATCTTCCCTCTGTGACGTCCCATCATCTTCCCTCTGTGTGTGTCTGTCTCTGTGTCCAAATCTCCCCTTTGTATCCGAACACCAGTCATACTGGATTAGAGCCTACCTAGGACCTCATTTTAACTTGATTACCTCTGTAAAGAACCCGTCTCCAGATAAGGTCCCCATTCTGAGCCACAGGGGCGTTAGGACTTTACACATCTTTTTTCTTGGTGGGGGGGGCAATTCAACTCAAGACACCATTCTCAACCCCAAACTACCCCAAGCCCCAGTGTCTTCTTCAATGTCTTTTTGGTTTCCACCCCATATGTATTCCAACCCCATCAGCCATCTCCACCTTGGGACACACCCATGTGCTTATCCCCAAGTCATCCCTTTGTCCCAACACCATCTTTAACCATCACTGTGCCCAACGACGCCAGGATAACCACCCACCCACCCACTGGGCCAGTGCTGTCCCACCTACAGCTGCAACCGGGTCCCCAATGTAGTCTCCCGGCCAACCCCCAACACCGGCCCATCTCAGCACCCACCTTCAACCCCAACCCCAAGCTAGCCTCCCCCTTCATTCTTAATCCCATCTCTACCCCCACCCGGAGTCCCCATCCGAACCCCCCATTCCCAACCTCCACCCACGTTCCTGGCCCCAACTCATGTCCAGATTTCATCTTCAAACTCACATCCATCCCCACCTTCATTCACCCCCATCCTCACTCCTAGCCTCCCCCCACCACACACACACCAAGGCATGCTGCTCAGCATTGGGGACCTCAGGAGAGCCCTTTCTGTGTATCCTCTACATCCTGGCCAGAGGCTATTTCAGCCCCGGCTCCCTGGGGACTGGGAGGGCACTTCAAGGAGGTGAGGAGGGGGTGACTGGAGCCCCCGCCTTCTGGAAACGGATGGGCAGAAATAGCGCTGGCCAGGAAACAGTTTCTCTGCCAGGGAGGAAGTGGAGGGGGGTGGAGGTGTCGGGGTAACCCTGGGCCACCAGGACCTTCCCTTTGCCTTCACTCAGAGGCCTCCCAACCCCACGGGGCTGGCGCTCGGCCGGGGGGGGGGGGGGGTCTGAACTCAGAGTCTCAGATCACCCCCACAGCTATCCCACCCCCAGAAGACCCCGTCTCTGGTCTTGCTAACCTCTCCCCACCTCCAAGCCTCCACTCTGCCCTCTGATCTACTCTGCCCTCCAAGCCTTCTCTCCACCCTCTCCCCCTACCTGGCTCAGACTCGCCTTCCCCCAGCCCTCCCACTGCCCAGATCCCTTTCTCTAGCTCTGATGCCCTTTTCCTGTCCTCGCCCCTCAAATATCCTGACCCCTTCCCATATCATAACCCACTTCCCAATACCCTCTGCCATCCCTTGCCCCCTGCCCCTCTCCCTTCCGCCTCAACCCCTAACCCCCACTTCCCCTGATTTCTCCCCATCCTCCTCCCCCTCCCATCCTCTTCCTAGTCTCGTGATGATGCTCTGGTCCTTTGACCTAGTTCCCTTATCCAGACGCCTATCCCATTGCCCACCCCCCTCTGCCCGTCCCTAACCCTCTCCTGTCCCCTCCCCCAGGCCCTGGCCCTCTCCCTCACCTCCTCAGCGTCCCCTCTCTCCCCGCTCCTCCCCTCCTCCTACCCCGCTCGTGTCTTCCGGGCCCCCCTCTCCTCATCCTCCACCCCTGGGTACCCCTCTCTCCCTCCCTCCCCCGACCCCCTTCCCTCAGCCCCTTCTCCTGGAACGTCCCCGACGCCTTTCTCGGCCCCCGTCACCTCCCCCCTGCCCTCCCCCCAGCCCTGCGCGCCCGCTCCCCTCCCCCTGACCTCCCGCTCTGCCCCCACAGTGCTGGAGATCCTGAGCCTGATCCAGCAGCGCGAGCTCGCGCGAGCCGACGAGCACATCTTGGAGCTGGAGGCCGAGGAGCTGGCGTCGTCGGGGGGCGGCGCGCCCGGGCCGCCCGGGGCCGAGGGCGCGGGCGGGGGCCGCCGGGCGCGGGACGTGGCGCTGCTCTACGAGGCCCTGCAGCGCGAGCTGTGGGCGCTGGTGCGCGAGACGCTGGCGGGCGCCGGGCCGGGCGCCGTGGCGCAGCTGGGCCGGGTGCTGCTGCAGGAGGAGGCGGCCGACGGGCGCCGGGGCCCGGGGGCCGCCCGCAAGCTGCGCGCCCGCTGGGCCGAGGCGGTGGGGCGCGCGGCGCGGGAGCGCCTGGAGGCGGCGGCGCCCGGGGCGCCCGGGGGCCTGGCCGGGCAGCTGGAGGCGCTGCGGGCGCGGCTGCTGGAGGACCTGGGCGGGGTGCGGGGCCGCCTGGCGCCCGCCTACCCCGCGGGCCTGGGCGCCTTCGGCGTCTACCTGCGCGGCTACCACGGCGCGCTGGCCGAGTGGCTCGGGGCCGCCGCCCGCCGGAGGCTGCCGCTGGCCGACCGCTACGCGCTCCTGCATTGGCACAACGAGGTGTACCCCAGGTGAGGCGGGGCCGGCTGCCCCCAGGTCGCCCAGAACCCCCCCCCCGCCAACACACGCCCCCCCAGCCCTGGCCTCTTCAGTTGCAACAGCCGGCTCTTCAATCCTAGAATCTTAACGCCGTTGGCCCTCCCGGTCCTGGGAGCCGGTGACATTGACCATCGAGCCTCTGAGCGCTGTCCACCGTGCCCGTGCTAGAACCTTAGCGACGTCGGTCCTTCCAGTCCCCAAACCTCAGCACCTCCCAGTCTGAGAACCTTTGCCCCGCGGACCCTTCCAGTCCAAGGACCTCAGCATCATCCCCACTTCCGTCCTTGGACGTGTAGCCCCGCTCAGCCTTCCTTGGCCTCGAATCGTGGCACTGGTGATCTTTACAGATCTAGAACCTTACACCCCTAGAACCTTAGCACCGTGGACCTTTCCGGTCCAAGAACCTCAGCACCGTGGACCTTTCCGGTCCAAGAACCTCAGCACCATTCCACTCCTGCATCCTTAACCCATCGATCCTTCCAGTCCTCAGCACTGTGGACATTTACAAGCTGAGCCTCTGAGCGCTAGCCACCCTTCCGCGCTAGAACCTTAGCGACATCAGTCCTTCCAGTTTTTTTTTTTTTTAAGATTTTATTTATTTATTTGACAGAGAGAATGAGACAGAGAGCACATGAGAGGGGGGAGGATCAGAGGGAGAAGCAGGCTCCCTGCAGAACAGGGAGCCCGATGCGGGACTCGATCCAGGGACTCCAGGATCATGACCTGAGTGGAAGGCAGTCGCTTAACCAACTGAGCCACCCAGGCGCCCGAGTCCTTCCAGTTCTAATACCTCGGCACCCCCAGCCCAAGGACCTCAGCGTCTCAACACTTCCACCCTTGGAATCATAGCACTGCTCACCCTTCCAGTACTAGAGTCTAAGCATTGTGGATCCTTCTTGTTCTAGAAGCCTTGCATTGTTATCTTTCTGTTCTTAAAATCTTAGCACCATTGACACTTCCAGGCCTAGAACCTTCCCATCATTGACACGTATACTATTAGAATCCCAGTACTGTTCACCCTTCTGGTCCTAGAATTTAGCACCGTTGATCATTCTCGGTGTACCTTTGTACCTTTGTACCATTGACCCTTCCAGTCCTAGTACCTTAACACCACTGACTCTTAAATACTAAAACCTTAGCACCAACATCCCTACAATCTTGGCATAGTTGACCCTCAGAAATCCTAAATTCTCTCTCTTTAGATCCTACGGCATTAACCCTGTTGATTCTTCCAATCTTAGAACTTGAGCACTGACACTTTCAATCCTAGAACCTTAGCACCAATGAGACTTCAAATCCTAAACCTTAGCTTCATTCCCTCTTTAGAGTCTAGAACTTTGATACTGTGGATCCTTGCAGTGTTAGGACTGTAACGCTCTTGGTCCCTTGAATTCTGTCACCTTAGCACTTAGAACCTCAGCACCATTGATGCTCCCAGTCCTAAAACCTTCACATGTCGAGATTTTGGATCCTAAAACATACCCATTCTTGTGGCCAGGGGATGGAATATGATTAACCATGACTCGGTCACCTACGCACTCTGGGGAAAGGGAACTGGCCACACCCAAACCACATGTTGGCGAGCCAGTGGGGTGGGTGGTTCTTCAAACAAGATCATCCTGCTGTCACTAGAAGAATGGGAAAGCAACAGCTGGTGACATTGACTTCCTAGATCCCCTTTGGGAATATGTGTTAAGGACACTCTCACACCACCTATGAGAGATGAGGCAGGACAGGGAGTCTGGAAAGCCTCCTGGAATGGCGGGGCAGGAGTAGGAAGATGGTGCTTCTGGCTGAGAAGATGCCATGGGCAAAAGCTTGGGGTGCGTTTGGGTGGTGGTGGGGAGGGGATAGGGAGAGGGACGGTATCACCCAGGGCAGTGTGCAAGACTGTAGCATCGGGGAGTGAGAGCTAGACCCAGGAGGCCTCCAAGGCCAGGTGAGGTGGCAGGGACAAGGAGCGGAGGCGGGAGGGAGCTTCTGTCTGGTGAAGCTGATCATGGGAGAGATCTTGTGTGCCAGACCATCAAGCCCGGACTTGACCCCTGCAAGTCTTGCCCGGACACCATTCATCAGGGAGCTGACTCAGAGAGCTGGAGCCAGGGGAGCAACAATTCCAGAGACTTCCTTTGAGGGATGAGCAAAGCCGGCCCCTAGAGAGGAAGGGAGTGGCCCAGGGTCACAAACACCCTGGGTGTGGAGGGGTTCAGTTGCCCCAATCCCCCTCTCACAGACCTCCCTGTCTCTTGTCTCCCACTCACAGAGAGATCCTAGGGCTGGTGGACCTGGTAGCCCTGGAGAATGGGGAGCTGGGGCCCCTTCTGTCTCCCGGCACCCTGCGGGGCTTGGAGGATGAATGTGTCACAGATGTTAAGGTACTGGGGGACTTGGGAGCAGAAGGGACTCTGCAGGGAGGGAGGGGTCGCACTGGGCTTGGGGGCCTCTCCTCTCCCCCTTTGGCTACTCCCATTTCCCTTTTCCCTTTGTGGACTTCTGAGTTCTGCCCCCAAGACACAGAAACGTAAACCCGTACCGATCACTTCTGCCTTAGGTTCAATGTTGTTACCCAAGCACCCAGCCAGGCACAGAGAGCATCAGTAAAGGTTCGATACATTCCGATACTTCAAACCCAAATCGTAGAGCAAGAGTCAGTCACAGAAACCCAGCTCACGGTCCCAAAGCCTTGTGGAAGGAAGGCATCACAGCAAGCCCTGGACACAAGCATGACAGACGGTCAGCATGATTAATAACTGGCCAGGCATGGGCACCATTCCGCAGGATGGTCCAGCCGCGAACACCCAGCCTGACCCCGGGGCTGTTTCCCACCTGAATTCCAGTCCTGCCTCAGCCAGAGAAATCAGAATCTTTGTAACCTGAGAGCCTAGAATCTCAGACTCCAACATACCTAGATTCTCAGATTCATTGAAGGGAACATTGGACCAGTGAATCAGAGATGCATAAACCTTATGATCCCAGACCCTTGGAATTCTGGAATCACAGAATCTGACTCTCTTGAGCAAATTGTTTTGCAGAACCTGGGGAGCAGAGCCTTAGGACCATCGAATAATGAGAGAATAGACCCTCAAACTCTCTGGCTATCAGATGGAGGAAGCTTAAAACTCCAGACTCTTTTTTTTTTTTTTTTTTTTTTTAGATTTTATTTATTTGAGAGAGAGAGTGAGCAAGAGTGAGAGAGCACGAATGGGGGGTGGGGCCAGAGGGAGAAGCAGGCTCTCCGCTGAGCAGGGAGCCCTATGCAGGGCTCAATCCTGGGACTCTGGGATCATGACCTGAGCTGAAGGCAGACGCTTAACCGACTGAGCCCCCCAGTAGCCCCAAAACTACAGACTCTTAATATCAAGCTCCAAATCATAGACCTAGGGATGCAAAGTGCTGGGGAGGTTTTCTGGTCCAGCCTCCCTCCTCAGCATGACCTTTACAAGCTCAGGAGTAGAACCAAGACCTGCTTGGGGCTAAGCTGTAGGGACCATGGAGGGGGGAGGAGAAAAGGAGGGAGAGGGTCCCAGGCGCCCCTGACTCCTGTCTTTCCCCCCACCTTCCCACTCCAGGCTCAGACACGCGCAGCCCTGCTTCGGGTGCTGCAGGAGAATGAGGAGCACTGGGGGAGCACGGAGGACCGGCCCAGCAGCCTGGCGCAGGATGTGTGTGAGGTAGGGGGTGGGGAAGTGGAAGGAGAATCAGCAGGAAGAGTTCCCCGGTGGGAAAGCAGGACCTCCCCCCTCCTCACCCCTTCTCCTCTCCAGCTGCTGGAAGAACATACAGAACGAGCACCCCGCATCAGCCAGGAGTTTGGGGAGCGGATGGCCCACTGCTGCCTGGCGGGGCTAGCAGAATTCCTTCAGAGGTATGGAGGGCTGGGGGCAGGGGGACAGGGCTGGGGGGGGAGAGGCATCAGTACCCAGGATCCAACAGAGAGAGGAGAGATGAAAGGGAACCAAGTAAGGATGGGCAGAGGCTCATCAGTGAGGATCACAGGCTTTGCGGGGCTGAGTGCCCAGCAAGAGGCCCTCCTCCAGCGGTACTCCATCTGTCACGCACCCTCCCTTTCTCCTGTCACCAGCTTCCAGCAGCGGGTGGAGCGATTCCATGAGCATCCAGGAGTGCGGGAGCTTCTACCTGACATCTACGTCAGCAGGACCATCTCCCTGGTCAATTGTGGGCCCCCGCTGAGGTGAGAGTGCCCAGTGTGTGTGTTGAGGGAGAGGGCCAGTGGCCGTGACAAGCTGAACTGGGGCGGGGATCCCAGAGCTGGCCCAGAGTGACAGGCACATGGGGCCTTAGAAGCATAAGACCCTAGGGAGTCCTGGAAAGGACCTTAGCATCACAGAGCCCTAGAATTACGGAGTGGAGTGATCAGAACATTGGAGTGTTCTAATCATAGGAACCTAGAAGCCAGACTCAAACACTCTAGGAATTACAGATGTTTTTTTGCCTTTTTATCTTACTCTCCTTTTTTTATTAACTTATTTTTCATGCATTTGAAAAATCGGGAATGCATTTACATGGTTCAAAATTCGAGATACAATAGGGCATACAGTGGAAAGCCGCCCTCCTACACGCTCCCCACCTTCCTTATTGCTAAAGTCTGCCATATCTTTGCTGGGGCACTTGATATATTTACCCATAAATATGTGTAAATAAGTGTATGCATGCATATGCATACTTCATGCATATGCATATTTGTGCACGTTCATATGCATATTTCATATGCACATTCCATATATATACACAAGTAAATATATTTCACTGTGTGAATACATATTATTCCTTTTCCTTTAAAAAAAAAACCCCACAAATGGTAGACTGTTGAACACACTTTTGTGCCTTTCCCCTTAACAGCTTGGAGACCTTCCTGTTAGCACGTGGAGTTCCCACATTTCCTTTTAGATCTGAACTGTGTTCCACTGTTTGGATATACCATCACATATTTACTGTCCCCAGTGAATGGAGAGTCGGCTCCACCCTTTGGCAGAGAAAAACCTGGCACACCTGTCAATTCCCACAAACGTGGGGACTCTGAAGGACACATGCCCGGAAGGGGGCTCGCTGGGATTTTGGGCAGAAAATGCCAAGTTGCCCTCAGACCACGTTAAGGTCCTTTCAGTGATGGAGGGTCATCATTAAGAGAAGGGGGAAAGGTAGGATTTTAGAATTAGAGATGTTTAGAATCACATTCCACAGAGCTTCCATATCCCCCTAGCCTCCCAAACACCCCCTGATATCGCTCAGTCCCCAGATTCTCCCCAGAGCCCCTGACTTCCTCCAGCTCCCCATCTGACCTGTCACCCCTGTGCTCACGAAATAGAGGCCATCTAAGGAGGAAGAGCGGTCCAGGCAGTTGAGCAGAATATTGGAGCTCCTTGACTTGTGGCTCCTCTGATCCCCACAGGGCTCTGGCAGAGCGCCTTGCCCGGGTGGGGCCCCCCGAAAGTGAGCCAGCCCGAGAAGCAGCTGCCAGCGCTCTGGACCGCGTGACCCGGCTCTGCCACCGAGTCCTGGCTGACCTGCTGTTTCAGGAGCTGCAGGTGAGTGAGGCAGGGGGCTGGCGGGGGGTGGAGTGTGCCAGGACAGGGGAGCACCCCGCCAACCTGCAGTTCCTTTCAGCCCATGACTCAGTGTTCAGGAAACCGGGGGGGGGCAGGGAGGTAGTAGGGGGTGATGGCCTGTCATTTGGGGGGGTAAAGGGGGGTACAGGAAGGAAGAGAGGGGAGGATATGGTCAAGGGGAGGATGGAGAGCAACCAGCAGAAGGGGCCTTGGGGATTGGGTGGAGCCCCTCCCCACTAAGGGGCCTGCCCCTGCCCAGCCTCTCCTAGATCCCGGAGCCCTATTTACCTCCGGGCTCCTGCGTGTGCCAGAGGGGGCTGCAGTCGGGTCGGAGGTGGGTGAGAGTATGTGGGGAGGGCGGTGGGAGTACCTGGGAATGAGAGAGGTGTGTGTATGCCTGGTTGTAACGCAGGCTCAATCCACGTTGTACATCCCAGCTCACTCAGAGCAAGAGCCAAAGTCCTTGCTGTGGTCCCCAAGTCCCCGGATGATGTTGAGCTGACCCTTCCCTCTCTGACCTCCCTTCCTCCCACCTGTCTCCTCACTTACTCCGTTCTCAGCCTCCCAGCCCCCTTGCTGTTCCTTCACATGACAGAGTCTAGCACCTTTGCACTTGCTGATCCCTCTGTTTGGACCCCTCTTCCCCCCAGGAACCACATCGACTCGCCCTCTCCCCTCTTTCAAGCCTTGACATCTGAGTCTCACCTTCTCACTGAGACCTCCTCAGATGGCCCTATTCAAAACAGAAGCCCTGAGAGGATACTCCCTTCCTCGCTCCCTGCTATGTTTTTCTCCAAGCACTTGGCGGCCACCTGCACTCCGCTATGGCCTTTGCTTTTTTCCTTTTTTTTTTTCCCCTCCCCAATCCAACTCCTCCCACAGGAATGTTAGCTTCTCAAGGGCAGGGTTTGTTGGAATGTTTCTAAAATAACTTTTTATTATGGAAAATTTCAAACATACACAAAAGTAGGCAGAATGATAGAATGGCCCCCTGGTGGACCAGTTCCAGCAAGTTGTCAAGGCCTGGCCAGTCTTGTTTCACCTCCGCCCCCCCCCCCCGCCCCCACCTGCCCCCAGATCCCCGACATCCTGTCATCATCCATCAACACTTCAGCCTGCATCTCCAGAAGATAAGAAATCCTTTTTTAAATGAACATAACCACGGTGCCGTTTTCATACCTAACACAGGGAACAATACTTCCTTAGTATCAGCAAATATATATAATATATAATAAATATATAGCAAATATCAGATAAGTATTCAGATTCCCCTGACCTGCTTACAACGATCAAATGCTTAGAGTTTTGTTTGTCTCATTCTGCGCTGTGTCCCCCAAGTGTTCTCCATGTGTCCCCAGCCACCCACCCATGGCTGAGCCATAGAAAGGGCTCACACAGTGTTTGTTGAATGACTACATGGATAGGTGTGTGTGTGGGAAAGTGAGTGGGGGGATTATGGGGGTGCTAGGAAAGGGGTACGGTCTTTGTTCCCGGCCTACCTGCGCTGCTTCCAAGTAGGGGGACCTGGGGCAAGTTACTTGTCCTCTTGGGGTTTCTGTTTGCTCATCTGGAAAACGGGCACAGGAATTCCAGGCTTCTGGTGGGGGGGGGCGGTGGCTGTGAGGGAGCAATGGGAACGTGGCTACAGAGTGCTTAGCTCCATCCAGGACCACGGGTCCTGGCTGATATCTTGCTAAAAATACAGGGTTTATAGCCACAGTGACATGCCCTGAGCCAGGCGCATGAGCTTTGGCTCATTTAATTCACACCTGCTTTTCAACAAAAGGCCCCGTCTTGGGAGGTTTGGACAGCCGGGTAACTGTTGGAATGAGAGAGCAGGAAGTGGGTGCGGGGCAGAGTTGGGGTAGGACCTGCTTTAGACCCCGTGGACGCCAACCCCGGATGTCCATTCCCCGGGGTCCGCCCAGACCGCAGCGTCTCCCCCCACGACCCCCAGAGCCATCTCAGGAACAGACCCACTGCCTGTCCCAGCTCTTGGATCACGTTCAAGTGCCTCCCTTCCCTCCCCCCACAGAAATCCTACTGCCCTGCCACTGCTGTCTTGAAGTTTATCAATAATTTTGAACAAGGGCCTTCCATTTTCATTTTGCTCTGGGCCCCACAAATTATACGGACGATCTTGCCAGCCACACCGACCTTCTTTCTGATCCTCTGACATGAAGACTTATCTGAAATGTGACCCGCCTTCACAGGCTGATGGAGCCACTCCCTCCCACACCCCTCACCTGGCTAACTATGACCACCCTCCGGCCCCACCTCTGGTGTCCCCTCCTCCAGGAAGCCCCCCGTGACTCTCTGTGCTGACTCAGGCACCCGCTCTGGGCTTCCTAAACCGCCGGTTCCCTCGTCCCAGCCCTGACCGCTCTGGGTCCATCTTTGGGGATGGTCTGTCTCCCTCCCTGGACTGTACGCCCCAGGAGGGCACAGCACAGCACTGCGGGTCCAGCTCTCCTCTGTGGAATTGGTAAGTGGAGAAAGAGGGTGGAAGGGAGGAGACCTAAAACCACCCCCCATTCTGTCTCACGCAGCCCCACTTCAACAAGCTGATGCGCAGGAAGTGGTTGAACAGCCCGGAGGCCCTGGATGGCATCGTGGGCACGCTGGGCGCTCAGGCCCTGGCCCTGCGCAGGATGCAGGATGAGCCCTACCAGGTGCGCGGGCTCGTCGGGGGTGGGGGGCAGGGATGGGCATGAGAGTGGGGGAGCGGGAGCGCGCCGCAGGTGGGGGGACCCCTTCAAGGTGCGGAGCCGCTCTCTCAGCGTGAGATAGGCGGCGCTCTGCGCGGGGTCTGCGGGTTGGCAGAGGTGCGGGTACTGGGGTGTTGGGTGCGGCGGCCACAGGGTTGGGGCCTCTGGCGGGGAGAACTCCGGAGAGTGGGGAGAGGGCTGGGACGCCGCAGCCTTTGGGGGCCGGCAGGGGGGGTCGTAGAGCCGATTAGGGGGCAGAGGAGCAGGACGGAGGTCACCCGTTGGGAGTCGCGAGGGCTGCTGGGGGGGCTGGGGGCGACGAGGGGACGCGGCGCCCTGTGGGCAGGGGAGGGGTGCCCGGGCTGGGCGCGGGCGGGTGGGGAGCGGGGAGGGCGTCCCCGGCTGCTCACCGGCCCTCGCGTCTCCCCCGGTCCCCAGGCGCTGGTGGCCGAGCTGCACCGGCGGGCGCTGGTGGAGTACGTGCGGCCCCTGCTCCGAGGACGCCTGCGCTGCCGCTCGGCTCGGACCCGCAGCCGCGTGGCCGGGAGGCTCCGGGAGGACTCGGCGCAGCTGCAGCGCCTGTTCCGGCGGCTGGTCAGTGCGGCCCAGGGCCGGGGGGCTCCGAAACCACGGGGAAACCTGGGCTGCCGGGAAGCCCGGACCCGATAGCCGGGCCGGAGGGCTTTCCAAGAAGGCCTTCGCCCAACTTTCGGTCCACAGGGACACTTTGATCCTGGCCCTGCGCGCGTAAACATCGGCTTGCTCCCGGCGAGAGCTCGCCTCCGGGCGCAAACCCGCATCGTGTTCCCTGTGCCCGGTGGGGGGGGGGGGGGGTCGATCAGTTCAGGCCCGCGAGGTGCTCAGGGCCCTACCCGGCCAGAGCTCCCACTCCCTAAAGCAGGAGCTGTTCGGAGCACAGAGAGAGGCTAAACGCAACAGAAACCCGAGAACCTTGGCGTTGCCAAATCCAAGAATGTAAAATGACCAACTCTTATTTGCACCCAGTTGTAATCAGCAGGACCGGAAGGGCTTCACTCATCCGCATTTCCAGGACTTTCTAGCCTGCAGTACTTGGAATCGCGGGGGGCGAGGGGGGCGTCATCTTACTGAGAACGCAGGGAGGCCTCTCACACAAGTAATCCAGTTTCCCCTAAGGGTCACCTTTGGCAAACGAGGACTAGGTTCGTAGGGGTGTCCCCGAGCCCCAGATGGTCCGCGATACTGGGAGGAGATATATTTAGATTGCATTTTCCTTCACATTTCCAAAGCTTCCAGGTCCTCCCAAACCTCTGATCACGGCCTGTCCTCTGTCCCGCTTTACCGAGAGAACGAAGGTCAGGAGGGGTACGGTTTACGGGGAGGGGGACCTAGAGCCAGAGTATGAGCTTGGAACCTTCCCCTGCAGGAGTCCCAGGCCTCGTGGCTGGATGCCGTGGTGCCTCATTTGGCCGAAGTCCTGCAGCTGGAAGACACGCCCAGCATCCAGGTGGAGGTGGGGGTGCTGGTGCGGGACTACCCCGACATCAGGTGAGAGCCCCCCCCCCCCCCCAGCGCCGGCCTGGCCCCCTGTTGCTGGTGCGCCGCCGCCAGGTCGAGGACTCCGGGCCTTGGCATCCGTCCCGGCGTTTCCTGCTCTTGGGCGAGGGAGGGAGGCGGCGAGCGTGTCTGATGGCCGTTTCCTGCTGGAACCAGGGCATTATTAATACGATTTCCCTCCTTCTCCCGCCGCCGCCGCCGCCACCAGGGCTCGCAAACAAACAGGCAGTCACAGGAAGCCCAGGGCAGGGGGGGCGCGGGGCCGCCGGCGGCAGGAAGGGCCGGCCCAGCCGGGGAGCCGCGGGGGACACAGGGACACGCACGGGCACGCGGGCGCACACGTACTGGGACTGGTGGATCATTTCCTCTCTGTGGGACCCTCTCCGAGCCTCTCCCAGGGGGATAATAGCACTCTTCCCATAGGATTGTTGGGGGGAATTCTCCATCATCGGTCAACATCAGCATTACCCTCGTCATCCGCGGGGACAGCAGGACCAAGACCAATTCTTGTTTATTGAGTCCTTATGTCAGACCTAAGAAAGCGTGGTATCAGCCCACTCTATAAGTAAGACCTATAATACAAGTTATTTTAGAAAATGATATGCAAGTGAAAGGCAGTGCTATTCTAAATGCTTAGCACCTCTGAGGCAGGCAGGAATTCAGTAGGTTACCCCAAATGCTACAGCTAGCAAGTGGCCAAGCTGGGACTTGAACCCCGGGGGCAGGCTGGCTCAAGCTGGTGCACCTGATCACCGCCCCGCCCCCCCAAATGCGATTGGTGGTGGCAGCCCTGCAGGGCTCTTCGGGCTCCCAGACATTCTGTATATTGGGAGAGACAAAACCCCACACCACCAGGGAGTGAGGCCCCAGTAGGGTTTAGGCTCCAGGGTTGAGGACTTGGGGTGGAGGGTGAGGATTCTGGACGTGATGCAGGATGGACAGTTCTGGCTCTGGGGTGTGGGGCTCTTTGTCCTTGGGAAGACACAAAGCCCTGTGGAGTGCTTGGTGGGGGTGGGAATCCCAGCCTTCCTCCTGGATTGGGGTTTCTGATTTGGAATCTGCACTTGAACATGAAGCTCAGTTTGAAAGCTCTCAAGTTTTGGAGTGGTTCCATAGCCGACTTTGGAGCTTGTCTGAGCTGGAAGGCTCTTGAGCCACATTTTTGGATGAGCAAATTTTGGGAGCTGTGGTGATTCCAAACTGGGGATGTGGGGAAGAGAAGATGCCGAGCTGCATTTGAAGGGGGTAGTGAAGGCCCCAGGGCTCTGTCTGAAACGAAAGTTCTGGAAATGACTGTTAGGTTCAGGCTCTTAAGTCGAAATGTGGTGATGGTCCTGGAGTTTTGGGCCCACCATCTGTTGCAGAGATGCGGGTGAAGGCTCGTTGTGTTGGATTTACGGGCAAGGGTTGGAAAATAGAGTTAGTTTTGAGACAGAGTTTCTGGTTGAGGGCCCCCTGCCCCAAGGTTAATTTTCCTTCTGGAGTGGAACTTTGGTTGAGCAGGATTCTGGGGATGGGGTGTGGGGGGGTGAAGCGAGTGTTCCAAGGGGATCGAGGTGTTCTCATGGATGGGCTCTGGGTTGAGAGCTTGAGTTAGTATATGGGCTCTGGAACTGCAGGGGTGGAGAAGCTTCCAGACCTGGCCTGGGGGGGAGGGGGGAGGTGAGGGTTCAGATGGGAATGTGGACGAACCCTTCTGGGCAGCATCTGAGTGATGGTAGGGGGCTGTTGGAGGTGCGAGTGAAGATGAAGTGAGGATTGCTGCTGATTCTGGGGCTTAAGCAGCTGTGAGGGGACCAGAAGGAAGCCCAGAAGTGGTCTGAGCTGAGTTGGGGCTGAAGATTGAAGGTTAATTAGGAGCTAAGACCAGGGTGCATAGGAAGACTCCTGTGCTGGGTGTAGAGGTGAGGGTTCTGGAGTCAGTTATGAGTGGAAGGATTTGGAAATGGTTGCTTAGCGAAGTTCTGGAGGGCATGCTGGTAGGAGGAGGGGCTGGGAGGAATAGAAATGGGGAGGGAATGGGGGCTGGGATGGGGGGAGGGCTGGGGGTGCTGCTGGTCTGGGGAAAGAACCTGGAAGGGGGCTTTAAAGGGGCTCCAGAGCTAAGGCAGGTTCTGGGACGGATGGGGGCCAGACGGGGTTCACGGGTGGGCTGGTGTGTGTCTGGCACGGAGAACCCCACGCACCTGTCCCTTCCTCTCTCCCCAGGCGGAAGCACGTGGCAGCCCTCCTCGACATCCGCGGCCTGCACAACGCAGCCGCCCGCCAGGAGATCCTGGCCGTGGCCCGGGACCTGGAACTGTCTGAGGGGGGAGCCCTGTCACCCCCTCGGGACCGTGCCTTCTTCTCAGACATCTCCGTGCCCCGCCCACCTTTCTGCCTCGGCCTCCCTCTCTTCCTGGGCCGCCTTCCCCTCTCCCGGCTGGCCAGGCCTGGTTTGGCCTGTCTGCCCCGGCTTCGGCCTCTGTCTCCATCACGGCCCCCTACCCAACGCTGAGACTCTCCCAGCCCGCCACCTCAGTGCCCCCCATCTTTGCTGCTGACAAACCATCCTCCTGTACGGGCTCGCTCTTGACTCCCTGCCTGGGACCACAGACCTCCCCACCCTGGGGGGCATGGAAAGATCCTCAGAGGTCTTCTCGGCCATCCCTATACCCCCCAAACAGAAGAGAAACAGGCCGGAGGGAGCAAGGACTTTCCCAAGGCCATGAAGCTCATTCCCAGCACCAGCTCCCGGCCCAGTGTGCAGTGGAGGGCATTTTGGAAGGCTCTACAGAAGTATCCCAGGCCCCCCCTTTCCCCTCACCTCAAGGTCTGGCCCCAGTCCAATGTATTAAGGAATGTACGATACTTAGAATAAAGAGGTTTCTATTTAACACAAGGAAGGGCTGAGTCCCCAGTGTGTGGGGGAGGAAGGACCGGGGGCAGGGCCCAGGGCCAAGGGCTTCTCACACACCCGAGGCTGGGCTGGGGTCCAACTCCTGGGCAGGGCAGTGGAGGCTGAGAGAGGCCCCCCAGGCCAGAAGCAGGCAAGGTCGTCCCATTTACCCCGAGGCCCCAGGCTGCGGGACTCCGGGGCAGGCCCTCGGCCCCTCTTGGCCAGGGGCCCTCGTTTCGTCAATCCCAAAGTGCCTCTCCTTCGTTTCTGGGCCTGGTGGTTCCACCTTGGCACACCCCACCCCCCTCCATCCATCCTTAACCGGGAAGCCGTGTCGAGAGGAAGGAGGTTGGGGGCAGGGCTGGCGGCATCCAGGGTGCCCTCCTGGGTTGATGCAGGAAAATCTCAGGGTGGGAAAAATTCCAGCCTGATCCTGATCCCCATGGAGACCTTGAGGTCACCTCTCCGCTGACCCCTGCCTCTCCGGCCTGGTTGGACAGCCCATGATGGATGCTTCCTGGTGTGTGTGTGTGTGTGTGTGTGTGTGTTTTCCCTGAGAAGTGGGAAGGAGGAGGCAGCCAGGGGTCAGCTTTGGGGCTGGGGTTGGAACCTCACCCACATGTGAACTCAGGAAGGTGGGGACTCGGGACTCTTGGAGGCTCTGGACTGTGTGACCTTGGGCAGGAAGCTGCCCCTCTCTGGGGAACCGCTTAACCTCTCTTTCCCTGGGCCCAGGTGAGCCATCCAGAGGACGTACCCCCCTGGCTTCTACTCCTAAGAGGACACTTTCAATGTTACTGATGTACAACAGAGGAGTTGAGGAATGAACGACGGGTCGCAATTTGTAGGCATTTCACGAAGGACCTGTGAACCTCAGTGTAGCATTATTCTTTCCAGATTTGGGTCCCCTATTTAAAAACAGCTTTATGGAAATGGGATTTGCATGCCAGACAATTCATCCCTTTGAAGATTCGATTCAGTCACCCTTGGTATATTCGCCGATTTGCGCAACCATCACCACACTCACTGTTAGAACATTGTCATCATCCCCCAACAGAAACCCTGTACCCCTTCGCTGTCTATACCCCTCAGGCCCTGGCGACCACTGGTCTACTTTTTGTCTTTATAGATTTGCCTATTTTGGACATTTCATATAAATGGGATCATAGAGTGTGTGTGCGTGTGTGTTAAGAACACTTAACATGAGAGGGTCACCTGGATGGCTCAGTCAGTTAAGCATCCAACTCTTGGTTTCGGCTCAGGCTGTGATCTTAGGGTCCTGAGATCAAGCCCTGCATCAGGCTCCATGCTCAGTGTGGAGTCTGCTTGAGATTCTCTCTCTCTCTTCCTCTCCCACTCGTGCTCTCTCTCTCTAAAATAAATAAATAAAATCTTAAAAAAAAAAGAACACTTACCATGAAATCTGTCTTTTTTTTTTTTTAAGATTTTATTTATTTATTTGACAGAGAGAGACACAGCGAGAGAGGGAACACAAGCAGGGGGAGTGGGAGAGGGAGAAGCAGGCTTCCCGCTGAGCAGGGAGCCCGATGCGGGGCTCGATCCCAGGACCCCGGGATCATGACCTGAGCCAAAGGCAGACGCTTAACGACTGAGCCACCCAGGCGCCCTGAAATCTGCCCTCTTAACACATTTTTTGAAAAGTTTTATTTATTTGAGTCATCTCAACACCCAATGTGGGGCTCAAACTCACGACCCTGAGATCAAGAGTCATATACTCCTCCGACTGAGCCTGCCCCTTACGTGTCTGACACGGTATTGTTAACTACAGGCACTGTGTCGTGCAGTGATCTCTGGAGCTCACTCATCTTGTATAACTAACTTCATCTCCACTAAACAACTCCCCATATAACCCAGCCCCCTCCCCTGGAATCACCCTCCTCTACTCTGCTTCGGTGGGTTGGAGGATTTGAGAGAGCTCATAGAAATGGAACCATGCAGAATCTGTCCTTCTGGGACTAGGGGGTTTCCCTTAGCAGAAAATCTTCCAACTCCATCCATATTGTCACAAAGGGTCAGGATTGCCTTCTCTTCAGCCTGAATATTATTCTGTTGTATGGAGAGACCACATTTTCTTTATCCATTCGTCTGGTGATGGACATTAGGGGCTCTTTCCATAGTTTGGCTCTTTGTGAATAAACACGTGGTCTTTTGCGTCTCCCTTCTTTCACTTAGCATGATGTTTTTGAGGTTCACTCATGTTGCAGCCTGCATCAGTACGTCCTTCCCTTTTACTGTCGAATAATATGACAGTGTATGTATGCACCACATTTTATTCATCCACGTATCGGTGGATGGACATTTAGGTTGTTTCTTCTCTTTGGTTGTTATGAACATGGTGCCCCGCTTTCTTCTCGATTGCACACATTTTCTTGGTTCCCTGAGCAGCTCTGACCTTACTCTGAGCCTCAGTTTCCACTTGAATAAAACGGGAGGAAAAGTCCTAACAGCTGCATTAATTCAGCTCCTACTGCATGCCAAGGACCATGCTCCTGAGGATTCCCTCAGTGCCCCTTCTCCACAAACATGCAGGTTTGGAAACAGAGGGGGAAGGAATGCAGTCAGAGTCACCACCCACCCAGTACCAGGGGCAGGACCCCACCTGTATACCCCAGGCTCGTACTAACAGCCACTCCTCTGAGCCAGCTGGCTGGGAGGGCACAGCGAGGTGGTCCTGGCGGAGGCATCCAGGCCAGGTCCTGACCCATGGGAAGTGCTGGGAAAACATTTGCTGTTTGGACTCAGATGGAGGTGTATTCAGTTCTGATTCCACATTTCTCTGGCTGTGGGACTGGGACAGCATTGTACCTCTTTATTGTAAGGTGCTCCTTGAGGGGCGCCTGGGTGGCTCAGTCAGTTAAGCTCCTGACTCTTGATTTCAGGTCAGGTCATGATCTCAGGGTCGTGAGATTGAGCCGGGCATCGAACCGCACATTGGGCTCTGCACTGGGTGTGAAGCCTGCTTAAAATTCTCTCTCTCCCTCAGAAGAAGAAGAAGAAAGAAGAAAGAGAAGAAAGAAGAAGAGGAGGGAAAAGGAGGAGGAGAAGGGGGAGGAGGAGAAGAAGGAGGAGGAGAAGGGGAGATGGAGGAGGAGGAGAGGAAGGAGAAGAAGGAGAAGGAGAAGGGGGGGAGGAGGAGGAAGAGGAGGAAGAGGAGGAAGAGGAGGAGGAGCTCCTTGAGTGTGTCCCAAAAGGATAACATCTCATGGCACTAACATGGAACCCATGTACAGTGTGGTGGGAATTCAAAGTGGTGCAGCCACTGTGGAAACCAGTATGGGGGTTCCTTGTGAAGTTAAACATACAATTACCATAAGATCCAGCATTTCCACTTCTAGTTATATGCTCCCAAAGAATTAAGGGGCTCAAACAGTTCTTGTATACCAATGTTCCTATAGCAACGTTATTCACAATGGACAAAAGGTGGAAGCAGTCCAGGTATCCATCGACAAATGAATGGATAAACAGAATGTGGTATGTCCATACAATGGTATATTATTCAGCCTTAAAAAAGAAGGAAATGGTGATACCTGCCACAGCATGGATGAACTTTAAAAACATTACCCTAAGTGAGGGGCACCTGGGTGGCTCAGTCGTTAAGCGTCTGCCTTCGGCTCAGGTCATGATCCCAGGGTCCTGGGATCGAACCCTGCATCGGGCTCCCTGCTCAGCGGGAAGCCTGCTTCTCTCTCTCCCTCTCCCCCTGCTTGTGTTCCCTCTCTCTCTGTGTCTTTCTCTGTCAAATAAATAAATAAAATCTTTACCAAAAAACAAATAAAAACATTACACTAAGTGAAATAAGCCAGACACAAAAGGACAAATACTGTATGATTCCACCTAGATGTGGTAATATAGAGCAGTCAAATTCATAGAGACAGAAAGTAGAATAGTGCTTTTCAGGGGCTGGGGGGCAGGAGGGAATGAAGAGTTGTTCTTTAGCGGGTACAGCGTTTCCCATTTGGGATAACCAGAAAGTTCTTGGGGAGGATGGTGGTGAAGGTTGCATAGCAATATGAATATACTTAATGCCACTGAAATATGCACTTAAAAATGGTTAGGATGGGGGCACCTGGGTGGCTCAGTCGGTTAAGCATCTGCTTTCGGCTCAGGTCATGATGCCGGGGTCCTGGGACTGAGTGGAGCCTGCTTCTCCCCCTCCCACTGCAGCTACCCTACTTATACTCTCTCTCTGTGTCAAATAAATAAATAAAATCTTTCAAAAAATGGTTAGGAGGGTCAATTTTATGTGCTGTATATTTTACCACAATTTTTAAAAATCTGAAGGCAAAAAAGACTTTTCTTGACATTCCAAAGCTTAAAGAATTTATCATCAGCAGACCTGCAAAACAGGAAATGTTACAGAAAGCCCTTCAAGCAGAAGGAAAAAGATACCATATGGAAATCTGTATCTACACAGAGGAATGAGAAACACCAGAAATGGTAACTATTTAGTAACCACCAGAAATGATGGGTAAGTACACAAGCTGGATTTTTTTTTATTATTATTCTTCACATCTCTTTAATAGACAATTGATTAAGCAAAATTAACTACGATGTTGTGGAGTGTATAACATACGTAACAGTAAAATGCATGACAACAGCACAAATGTAGGGAGGGGAGACTTGCAAAGTCCTGTCGCAAGGTTCTTACGCCATATGTGAGTTTTAGTAGGTCACTCGAACATAGTCTGTGATAAGTTAATGTTATAACATAAACTCTAAGCAAACACTAAAAGAACAAAACAAAGAGCTATAGTTAATATAGCTAAAAGCATATAAAATGGCATCATAAAAAATACTCAATCCAAATAAAGGTGGAAAAAGGGAACAAGGACCCCATAAGACAGATTAAAAAAAAAAATCAGGGGCGCCTGGGTGGCTCAGTTGGTTAAGCGACTGCCTTCGGCTCAGGTCATGATCCCAGGGTCCTGGGATCGAGCCCCACATCGGGCTCCCTGCTCCGCGGGAAGCCTGCTTCTCCCTCTCCCACTCCCCCTGCTTGTGTTCCCTCTCTCGCTGTGTCTCTCTCTGTCAAATAAATAAACAAAATCTTAAAAAAAAAAAGTTAATAAAATTGACTGATTTCTCATTAGATTAAATCAAGAAAATAAATGATAAAATTTTCTAAATTCAGAAATGGAAGAAAGGACATCACTGCATTTTCCAAAGAAATTAAAAGTATAGAAAAAAGAATATTATGAACAATATTATGCCAATAATTTGACACGTTAGTTGAAATGGACAATTCCTTGAAAAATGCAAGTTACCAAAATTGACACAGAAGAACTAGGATATCGCAATAGCATTATAGCTATTAAAGAAATCAATTAATAGTTAAAAACCTTTCCACAAAGAAAGTGTAAGAGACAGATGGCTTCACAGTTGAATCCTGTTAAACATTTCCATAAGATGTAATATCAATCTTACATAAACTCTTTCGGAACAGAGAGGAGGAAAGAGTGTTTACCAATTCATTTTATGGGACCAACATTACCTTGAAATAAAAATCAGACAAAAGCATTACAATAAAAGAAAAATAGAACAAATGTCCCCTATGAATTTAGATATGAAAACCCTTAACAAAATATTAACAGATCTACTAAAGCAATATATAAAAAGGAAACACTTCATGACCATTGCGGTTTATTCCAGACTGCAAAGTGGATTTATTTTATTTTATTTTTTTAAAGATTTTATTTATTTATTTATTTGAGAGAGAGAGAGAATGAGAGACAGAGAGCATGAGAGGGAGGAGGGTCAGAGGGAGAAGCAGACTCCCCGCTGAGCAGGGAGCCCGATATGGGACTCGATCCAGGGACTCCAGGATCATGACCTGAACCGAAGGCAGTCGCTTAACCAACTGAGCCACCCAGGCGCCCCATGCAAAGTGGATTTAACCATCACAAATCTATCAATGAAATTAGCCACATTAATAGAATTTTGGAGAGCCCACATCATCTCAATAAATGACAATTATGTGACATAATTCAACATTCATGGTAAAAATTCCTAGCCAACTAGAAACAGTATGAAATTTCCTTAAGAAAAGGCATCTACAAAGAGCTACACTAACATTTTACTTACTGTGAAGGACTGAACACTCTCCCTCTAGGATCAGGAAGAGGATAAGGATGTCTACTTTCACACTTTTATTAAATATTGTAGTAGAGATCCTGGCCAGGGCAATAAGGCAGGAAAAAGGAAATAAATGGCAACAGATTGGAAAAGAGGAAGTAAAATTCCATTTGTGATGACATGATTATGTAGA